TATTTGAGGAGATAAAAGACAATCTTTTTTTTTTTTCCTCACTAGAGGATGGGACCAACAATAGTTATGTAATATTAATCAGTTTTTACTACTATTATTATTATCAAGTGTGCTCGATTTTACCTCAGGCACTTTTCAGAGACTCATTTCTGTCACATTTTGCAAGGCTAAAAAAGCACAATTAGTACAACTCTACAGTAGTTTTTCCAGATCTAGAAGCTTGAGTTGGTGTAAGAACACAATGGGAGAATCTTTTGTTGATGTAGATGGATGCCATCAGCTCCTAAAGTTCAATGTTCTTGCAGAACATGATGAGCATCCAGTTCCTAATGAGATATGCAATGCTTAACCTGAGTTCTAAATATGGTGTCAGGAGGGCAACTAGATGTGTAAGAATAAATGTCATAGAAGATTGTCCTGTCAGTCATAAATTTCTTCACATGCTTTTGGATCATGGCCCTCTCCTAACATATGCAGTTTTAATCAGTTGTAGAGGCTAATTAACCTCTACATGTTTTGAAGAATAAAGAGAATTTAAAATAGCACCTCTGCCAGTACTGTCAGACACAAGTTCCTTGCTCAAAACTGAGTTACTCTTGCTGAAGCAGGAGATAACAGAGGAAAAAAAACATGGACAGAAAGAGCTCTAAACCATGTGCTGGACAGAAAATCCCCCTCTTCGAAAGTGTACTGGTTACCAGGTGTAAAAGGGCTACAGAGGTTAATGATAATGGGACCTAGTAAATATGTGTTCTCCTGTTCATCCTCTGATGAAGAGAAATGGAGCAGCAAAGTAGCTGGAAGGAGTAGCAGGATCTTGGTTTTTATGGGATGTTCGAGTGATCTATGAAATCATCTTGTGGAACACAGAAGTTGCATGTGGAACACAAAATGAGGTTTTCATTGTGACAGTTGTGATTAAACTGCTGTAGGACAGAGACATTTGCTGACATAAGTGTTAATGCTGTTAAGCTTTACTGACAAATGTGTGGAATCTTTTAATGTGTTGCTTTATAGTTTTCTTTGTTATTTCTTAATTTGCCACTCACAACTTCAGAATTCATTCTAGAAAAAAAAAATAACAGCCATGATAACTCCTCATTTTATCAAGGTGTTCATCCTTGACTATTTACCCTGAGCTCCTGGATTCATGAAATTAGCTGAAATTTTTTTTTGTTGTTGTTATCAATAGAGTTTGTTTTGTAATCTGGTGACGGGATTAAAAAAAAAAAAAAAAACAACAAATGTGCAGACACCAAAAAAACTCCACTACACTCTGAAAAATTGGCATAGAGAGGCAATTGAATTCCTGGGCACTACTATCCAAAAACAGGAAGCATGGGAGTCATCTTCTGCAAAATATCCCCCATACTTACATGTTTTTACATATTGAAGCACTTAATCTATTATTTCATAGACACATCACATAAATGAAGCTGCACTTCAGGTTTTTGCAGGAACAATTACAGAAACTTTTTTTTCCTGAAACCTACATACCCTATTTGCAATGAAGATTCCTTTCTGTGAACAGAAATTTAGAATAAAACCTGTGTGTCACCATTTGTCATGGTGCCAGGATTTGGCAACTACAGCTGATACAGCATAGTATCACTTTCAAGCCAAAGTTTTTGTAGAGATGGAAGAGTCTTCAGTCAGGAAACCTGATGAATTGATTCCATTGTGATAAGTGGGCAGAGAGTGAAAGCAACAATACCAGCCATTACTGAAATGAGATTGTGGAGTTAGAGGAGATGAGGTGGAAGGGAAGAGCAATACAATCAGGGAAGTTAAAAAAAGGAGGGGATGAGTGGGAAAAGAAAAGGAAGGACAGGACAGAGAGTGTTTGTTCAAAAAGATACAAGTAAAGACCAGAGGGGAAAATAACAAAAACAAACTGGAGAAGAAAAACAAGAGAATGAGGAGAAGAAAAACAGAAGAGGAGTTTATATGAGCATTATTTTTAAAATTATACAACTGATCAGAGTTGACAGAAATTATCAGTTTTTTACAGTGGGAAATCAGGAGTTTTCCGGTTTTGTTTTGTTTGGAGAAGGGTAGGGGACTTTTTTCTCTAAGGGAGTGGAAACCATGTGAGTATCTTTTAAAGTAGGAGTACGCAAATTATTTAATCACATCTATTTCATAATAAAAATAAGCTTCAAATAAGCTTAGTCTTTCTCAGAGCAAAAAGGTAAAGATACATTAATTATCCTTAATTACAAACTTGCAAAACAAATCTAAGACAAATTCACATGCATGTGTTCAGTGGGGCTCTAAATTAGGGCTGTATCCATCCAGGTGCTTCCATCTTTCAAGAAACTCAAGCCAGCTCTGGGATTTTAAGCAGTAATGTGCCCAGTGAAATTAAATTACCCAATGATAAATGTGGATCCAGTTACTTATTTGAAGGAGCAGCATCAGAATTATCAACTGGGATATAAAATAAGTGTTACTTTGTGTCCTCTCTCTAGCAAGTCATCATGAAGTACCACTGGCAAGTGCAGCTGCTGGTTCTCACCATCTGTCTCAGGCCAGTGGCCATGGAAACGTGATGAAGTCCACTGCATGGGAGGATGTCCTTCCCTGGGAAATGTGTAGATTCAGGGGAAATCAAAGTCTACCCAGACAATGTGGGATACGCTGAGGGACAGTGGTCAAAAACATCCTCAGCAGAAAGCCAAATCGATTTCCAGTGAGGCATCTGGAGTGAAGAAGGGTTTGTGAAGCACACGGACTTCACTCCTAAAGGAGTTTGAAAGGTAATAAAAAGAGTCATAAGGGGTTGAAAACTTTATTGCAGTTTAAGCTGAGACATTCTCCCTGTAAATTAGAATAAAGGTCACGCTTCCTTAACCAAACCCTTGAGACACGTGCAAATCAACTAGACAGCATTTATCTCTATTATGATTTATATTCTGATATTAAAAGTGAGAAGATAGAACATACAAACAAACAAAAAACCAAAAACCCCTGAAAACCAAAAAAAATGCAACAAATTAAAAAAGCGCAACACATAAAAATAGGCTTCCAAAAAGAAAATCAGAGAAAGGCTTTTCCAGGAGATAACTCACCATGGAAAGCTGATTTAATAAATGAACTTAACATACATGCTTTGTTTTAAAGTATATATTTATTCCATATTCATCAAAGAATTTAAGTCTGCATTACGCAGTGATTCAATAGAATCAAGGTGTACATACATGATTAGACATGGGTTCAAATGCTTTGCTGAATCAGGACACAGTTTAGGAACTGTAATTCTGCTCTCTCTGCACTTGCTAAATTTGATAGTGATATTCAGGTTATACCCCTTCCATGCCTCCCAAATTATCATCTGTGAGAGTACTATAGTGTGACTCTGACATACAGAGAACTAATGAATACTTCATGAGACTCTCAGTTATTATTTAATCACAGCTCCTTTATGAGCTGATGGAATTTGTGTTGATATGAAGGCAAAATAGCACAACACTGAAATGTAATAGTGAAAACAAAGCTAAAAGTAAACGAAGTTGCTATTAAAAGTAGGAGAAGTACAGAAGAGAAATATGAAGTCATTATTGAAAACATAGATATTTGAAAGATTTCATCAAAAAGACCAATGCAAAAGAATAGACAAAGTTCTTAGTTCTAAGGTATGACACTAGAGTTCATTCCTCTGTAAAAGATCAATTTTTTCCCACAAATTTCCCATTAAATAATTTGAGAATCAGGGCTAAACTAATCTACAAGTAAAATCCATAAGAAAAATAAGCATTTAAAAACCTGGTCTAAACTGTCATTTTTCAAACTAAACTTATTTTTTTTCTCCAAGAATATCTGCAGCATAATGGAAACTATGGGTAGTCAAAAATGAAATCTTTCTTTACTAAACTGCTACCACCAAAGTTAACAGCCCAATCAAGATTATTAACTCTAAAGTTAACAACTTTAATAACTTTGTTACTTAGATTAATTGTGACTGAGATTTCTTTTTCCAAACCATTGTTATTATGACTAATTTTATGTAGAACGAGTCAATATTCCAGATTTCATAACACCCATGTGCCAAGTCCCAATTCTCTGTGCTCATACTGCATTATTTATACTGTTGTAATAAAGTCTGATCTAAAGCCCTTTGAAGTAAATGAAAAGACTCCCACTGACTTCAAAGGACTTTCTATTAGGCCCAGAGAATTTTCTTTGCAGGGCTTTTGTACTTGATAATATCTGATACGGCCAAATTTGTTTCTCCTCTCTCTCCTTCACCCTCACCCTGGGTGTTATTTTCTATGTTTATGGGTTACTTATAATCTGGAAATTCTTTTTTCTTCTACAAGGATAATTTTTAATGAAGAATAACATTTTAAAAGCAAAAGACTGAAAGTTGCACTTCAAGAGTGTCAAATTCAAATAAATTGGAAATAAATAAATAATTTTGTGAAGACTGACATATTTTAAATATTCAGTAAAATATTTACTCAGTATTTTAGGCTCTTTTTCCTGCAGGTTTCACTTGGACTTGGAATAGGTTTATCTTCCTCCAACCATACCTCTATTAATGAGTTTTCAATGGATGCCAAATAAAATGCTTTAGCCAGAAAAATTCAACTGCTGATAATTTAAGAGGAAAACAAACCTTTGAAATTCATAGAAATCATTGTCTCTATTAATCTTACTGCCTGTGAAAAAGATTTTGAAATAGGTTTCTTTGGACCTGCCCAAATTCCTGTGTATCATGACTGAATTTTATAAATTTTATATTTCACAATGAGGTCGCTCTTTTTTGAGATCATTTGGATATATAGCCCCTGTCTTTTCCTTTCCTTCTTCTAAATTAAAGTACAAGATTCACAGTCTTCCACCTTATCTCTCTTTTCTCTTTTGTGTAGTAAGATGTGGGTGTTAGCAAAACATCTAACTTCCTCTTTTTATGCAGTTAGGCCCTCCAAAATAATTTGGGAGAAGTTGTTTACCATGCAATATATGTGTAATCATCATTACATTTTCATTATTTTTCATTCATTCGAGTATACAAGTTTTCATTAGCTTTTTTTCAGGCCAGCAGCTTCTGGTGGATCTATTTTCTGTCTTACATATAAAATCTTGAGCAAATGCAGATCAGTTCCTTTGAGATCAGCAACAAATAACTGTGTGATGTACAATGACACTATGCAGTTTGTTTTCTTTTACTTTAACTAGATAGACACCTGAATGCCCTGATGTTTAGATTAGTGTGCTGCAGTTTATAGAGTGTGAACCAAAGTGAAATCAATAGAGATATTTCAATTGATCAAAAATGAACTTTTGGACTGAATTTACACATCCAACAAATTAATTTTACTTACTGTCAATCTGATATTATAGATTAATTTCTCTAATGGGGAAACTGTGAGGTAACAATTTCAGTTTGCATTTCCTGAAAGACTTATATATCATTTGTAATGAAACCATGACTACAAGCCATTTATAACAGAAGATGTAAGTCAAGAAAGAGATGTAAGTACTTCACAGACCCTCTTTGCAAGGTAGTTTTCTCTGGTAGTGAGCAGTGTCATGCAGATCAAATGGCACAAGGACCTCAGTTTACCTCCACTCTCATGCTAAAAGCAAGGTCAGATAAAAGGCTTCCTTCACAGTACTTGCAAAATAATGCTGAGCACAGCAAACTCCTTAAATAGAGCAAAGCAGAGGAGTGGAAATATGGATATTCAAGGACTCAACAACCCCACGTGCTGCAGTTCCATCCTGGAATTAATTTGAGCCCTCATTTCTCATACCCTTAGAACCTCACAAGTGTGCTGGCTTCCAGCCAGCATGGTGCCTCCTTAACTTGAAATGCAAACTACAAGTAAACACTGTTTCCAAACTCTGTCTATAGCACCAGCTGAAGCTGGAAACCATCTCTGATGAACAAACACACCATTCTGGTCATCTGGCTGGGCTGACACCAACTGATTCAATGCCTTTGAAGGATTTGAAGATGACAAAAGTTTCAGTTCTTTCATGTATTGATGGTATTCTCTGCCCTAAAGGCTGACATCTGGAGAGGAATTATTACAAGAAGACAACCTGGAATTGCATTTGAGACTGTGGAGCCTGATATTTGTTCCTACTGAGCACCAGGACAGTACACACTGATTCATGGAAGAGAAAAATGTCATTATTCACAAAGAGTTTCCTCCAGCTGCATATGCCATTTATCACTTTCAATCAGTATTACTCAGAAAGAAAGAGCAAACTCAGGGCATAGCCACCATGTTCACCCTTTTAACAATTTCTAATTTGCCAAAGACAAGATATTTGTTCCTACTTTACAATAGCCTTGTGGTGAAACAGGCAGCTAAAAGCACTCAGGTATTTCCAGACCTCAAACAACTCTATTATCTATTGTCACAACAAAGGACCATCAAAAGTAACTTGTAGGTACAAAGAGTTGGAAAATTCACCAGAATAGACATATCCATCTACCATACCTGTGTGACCACACAAATATAATAAAAACAGAAATATATATAGGACAGGCAGAGATAATTAAATGCAAGCCTAATGCATTTGCAAAACAGAGTGCCCAAAAGCATTTGCAGAATCAAAGGATAACTGAGGTGGGAAGGGACTGCTGAGGTCATGTAGTCAACCTCCCCTACACAGAGCAGGGTCAGCTGAAGAAGGTTGCCTAAGACTCCATCCATTACCTTTTTTAAGATCTCCAAGGATGGAGACTGCACTATCTCTCTACACAGCTTCTCCTCATGTTCAATCAGTCTTAGGATAACAGACTTTATTCTTTACACAGAATTTTCTATATTTCTGTTTGTGCCCATTGCCTCTTGTCCTGCCACTGGATACCTCTTAGAAGTCTCTTGCTCCATCTTTCTTTGCCTTCTCCATCAGATATTTATATACCTGTTACCCCTTATCACATCCTGTCCCTTTTCTGTACAGCAAAGCCCAAAACTAGCACAGCATTTAAATTGAGACCTTGATGCTACTAGGAAGAATGGAAGATTTATTGAGAATACTTTCCATATGAAAACCCTTCATGGAAGCACCATATGTGTCCTGCTAATAGAACAAAGATGAAGAACCTGAAAAGAGGATGAGCAATCACCTGTTGCTCTGGCTCATGAAAGAGCCATGGTATCAGCATGCATCTGTATTTTCACACCTATACATGATGAGGAGGGTGTCAGTTTTCTGAAAATGCATGGAATTTGAGTAGAAGTTGCTTCTAAAGCACCATGAATCACTTCTTTTTAAGATGAGCAATCTTTCATCCCTCAGAATGTTATAACGAGATGAATCTCAGTCAGTTCAGAAATACAGGTTACCCATCACCGATGTCCTCATCCTTCCTGAAGGAAGAAATATGTTCATTATAAGCCCAGTTCACCTAGTTTACCCAGTTCCTAGGTAAACTAGGCAGGTCAGCAGCAGAGTGCCCAGCAATACAAACTATGTCACACATACTGCAAGACTCCAAGTATGTGCAAAAAGTCATTGTGGATATCAGTGGTTAAAAGAGATCAGAGCTGGAGTGGGCACTGCCTTGTTTGGTTGGTGGTTTTCTAAGATTCTGATAATGAAACTTCAAGCCCTTCTGCAATGACACGTGAAGATGAGAGACTACATCCATAAGAACAACCTTGTCTGTGGGTGGGTACATACATACATGGAGAATATATAAATACCTTTTTTCTTTTTTTATTATTCTCAGACCCATCCAACTCAAGGGTATTTTCTAGCCCAGTTTGGATAAATGGAGAAACAATAGCTATAACACAAATGATCCTCTCAGAAGGCATGAAAGTGACTCCAAGAAGAGTTTTCTGTGTCCCATTGAAAATAACTTCACCTTTCTCATTTTGACCCACAAATTTGCCTCTTCAGGTCCTTTTTAATGCCATTCGTGATTGTGTCTTTGTATCATCATGCACTGCAGTTCTTATAGTACAAGCCTACAAGACACACAGAAAGTGAGTTTCCCAGGAATAGGATAAAGAAGGAATGCTCTGATTTGCATGTAATGAGCAAAAAATGACTTAGCAGAGAGTGTTAAAATGAAATACTGCTTATTTTTAATATAATATATTTTTTCTCTCTCACCCTGGCTGTGAAGAGGAAATGTTGATCCCATTGTCTCCCATCATAGAAGAATATCAGTTTGAGACCACCTGAGGAACCTGAAGTTCATGAGCTCCTGTGTGCCAGGGCCCTGAGGAAATAGGATTAAATAGTTGCCAAAACACTCTCCCTCATATTTGAAAAGTCACAGCCATCAGGCAAAGTCCCTGGTGAGCGGAGAAGCAAAAAAACCCCACACTCATTTTCCAAAAAAAAGTAAAGAATAACTACCAGCCTGTCAGTCTCCCCTCTGTGAGACCATGGAACAGAAACACCAAAGACAGGAAGGTGATTAGAAAAAGCCAACAGGGCTTCACAAAGAGTGAATGTGCCTAACAATGGAATGGCAGCATCGGCGGGCAGGGGAAGAGGAGCTGTGAATGCCATCTACGTGGACTTCTGTAAGGCCTTAGACATGGCAATCCATAGCAATCTTGCCTCTAAATTGGAGAGATATGGTTTGATGGATGGACTGTTAGATGGATAAGGACTTAGCTGGAAGGCTTCATCCAAGAGTTAAAGTCAGCTGCTCAATGTATTGGTGGAAACTAGATATAGACAGGGTTCCTCAAGGGTCCACAGTGGGACCAGTGCTATTTGATATGTTCATCTCCAACACAGGTAATGAGACTGAGGACATCCTTGGCAGGTTTGCAGGTGACAACAAGCTGTGTGGTGGAGCTGATTCCATACAGAGAAGGGGCATTCAGAGGGACTTCAAAAGGCTTGAGTTGGGCTCGTGTGAACCCCACAAAATTCAACAAGGCCAAGTGCAAGGCCAGGCTGGATGAGGCTATGAGCAAGCTGGGGTAGTGGAATCTACTCCTGGCCATTGCAAGGGTTCAGAAATAGATGATATTACAGTGTCCCTTCCATTCCAAACCACTCTATGATTCTATATGCTCAAGATTGATCTGGCCCATGTTTTGATTTATTTCCTTTGGGAAAATCCTACCTTCTTTACCCACATGTATTCTAAAGAACAGGATTTTTAATGAGGAGAGTAAAAGTGACATATTTGTGTTTTCAGTTACCAATGCTCATCCACGGTTGAGATGGGGACAGTATTTAAATGACTTTTCTGCATCAACAATTTGGATTTTTGTAGCAGAAAATTAATTTGTGTCTTCTCTGTTGAAAATAACTCAATGCATATTCCTGTATACCAGCTGGACTAACAACGGAAGAGAAAGTCACAGCACACCTAGATGAAGAAACAGGGTACAGAGCTCTTCCAAAAGACAATTATATTTTCATCAGATCCTGATGTGTATTTTCCTATTGTGTTAAACACAATACAAGCAAAACTTGGAAGATAGAGAAATGGATATAGTAATGAGCAAAAATAATTATTATATTCATGCAACACAGGACAGTGCAGTGCAAGTAAACAACAGAAGTGGTGTAGCTTTTTATCTTATCCCTGCAAGAATATCTCCTTTCCTCTCACTTTTCATATTCCTATGTAAATATCTGCGGCTGATCAGGATGAAGAGGAGAATACTGGCTTAGATGGACCTTCTACTGTGAGCCACTCTCATATTTAGCTAGACCATGTTCATCCTTAGCTGCAGAGTCATGGCCATATGAATACTCTCCGAGCCATTGCAAACAAGTTCAGTTCTCTTTGAATCATTAACTACCATAATAGACATATTCACAAAAATCTCCCTGCTCCATTCCCCATACTAGTCCTACAGTCCAGCTTCTGTTTCCAAAAATAAAAGAAAAAAGAAATCACACCTCTACTGACAAAATTTGCACCCAAATCTTTTTACCTGAGTATTGAATGGCATTTTCAAAGCAGAACCTGTACTCACAGATGTCTATCTTGTGATTACAGTCAGAACATAAAACTTAAAGCCACACAAAGCTTGGCATTTCTTATTCAAAGCCTGGGTACAAAGCTACAGGTGCTGATGCCAGTAGCACATAATTTGCTCCTGCAGTGATATTGCCTGATTAGCCATCTGCTACTACATCAAGAATTTTGTCACCTTCAGTTTAACCATGTCATGTTTTCAGCTGATCTGCATTTTGGTTTATGAAGGAACAATTGCAGCAAAAGCACTAGTGGTTTATAGACATCATTACCTGGAAAAGGGTACTTGAGGTTTCTGTAAAAATTAAGCAAGTTTAGACACTGATTTGTTTGCTTCTGATAATATTCAAAAACAAGGGCAGAATGCAGAGTAGCACACAAGTAGAAACCTCATGACAGGGAAGTATAGCACAGCCACAAGGAGCCTAAAGAGATCAAGAAAAACTGTCCTGTCTAAAGAACAGGAATATTAATGTCCATATCAGAGTGAAGGCAACCATTTTCTTTGATAGTTTCAGTCATCCCTACAGCCCTGGTTTGCCTGTAAATTTACTCATACTGTTGAACATATTTGTTTCAAACTATCTGGTTAAGAGCAGGGGCTAATGGAAAATAGAAATGGCCTTGGAACAATTAATGGAAGGCAAGTGCCATTAAACAAGAAAAGATTGAGGAGCCAGATGGCTGGTGTTGACGCTGACTTACAGCTACAGAAACTTGCCTGACTTTCCCTGCAGAGAGAAGTGATTAGCTCTGGTGAAACGAGATTGTTAAATGTTCTCTCATAGCCTGAGTGTGTCAGAGGGGAGAGAGGAGACCTGTGTAGTTCACCCTAGATTTAAGGCCTGTTGTGTACTTTCAGAGCTTAGCAGAAAGTCACAGACTAATCTTCACAAGGTGGATGAGCAGCACACTGAGCAGACCATACAGTGCTCAGAAGAAAGCAAAGCATCATTACAATTTGCTCATACTTACCCCATACTCTTCTCAAGATACAAGTCATTGTAGAGTGGTACAGCAGTTGGCTGTTTTCAGTCTTACTAGCTGAAAATTCAGACTTTATATTGGACCAGATCCTTATGTGGACACCACCTGAAACCTTTTGTGACAATTTGAGTTGTATTTGCTTGCAGGGAGAAAATCCCTTGATGTGTTCAGTCCTTTTGGTAGAGACAATCCAGAGTAAAACCAAATCCCATCACCCAAAATTGCACACATTTTCTCTACAATTTAGAACTTTCTTTCACTTTTCCTTTTTTTTTTTTTTTTTTTTTTTTTTAATCAGATTCTCAAATTTCCTTCCTCAGGTCAAAAGCAGGAAAAAAAGATCCATAACAGAGATAGCTCAGACAACAGAATTTGTCTCCCAGCATGAGCACTGGGGTATCAGAAATCCAAATTGCTGCTGCTACACACTCAAGGAGATCCTGTTTGCCCATATGTTTTAATATGAACATTTATTCTTCCACTCATAAGATTCTGCCTGAATCTTCAATACAATTTATCATTCTGCCAGGTCCATGACTGAAAGGCAGAATATAGCCTACAGATCCAACAAATCTTTTGGGAGTTTTAATTGCATAAGAAATTTAATATAAATACAGAAGAATATATTTTTTCATATATATAATGAAATTAGGATTTCACTAAAATTCTGTTACCTGGAAAGTACAATCTAAGCTATTAACGTGTCACAAAATGTGTTAAGATACAAATCAGGATTCCTATGAAAGGAGCTTGACCTTTACACATTTGTGTTCACAGATTTTAAAGTAATACCAGAATCAACTTGTTAGGCTATGACAAAGTTTCCAGCTGGATTTCAAACACATCCATTTCGAGAATCAAAAATATGTTCTTGAAATATTCCATGGAAAGAAATATAAGGGTCAAAATAAAAACAAACAAGATTTTTCTTTTTTTTATTTCCAGCAGAGAAGAAAGATCAGGAAAACACTGATATTTTTTTTTCTTCCAGTAATGCAAACATGAATATTAGAGAAGTGGCAAGAAGGTAGTCACTTTTCCCATGGGTAAGAAGGAAGCAGGAACAGAGGAAGGAGCCCAGATGAAACAAATTAATAAACATCTCTAGCATGTGGAAAAGAAGCTACTATAAACTCCTAGCATATCTAAAGAAGTATGTCTTCATGGGGAAAGGAATCCATTTTTCTCCCATGCTTGACCATTTAATTGACATATCAGCAGGTTAAACAGATAAAAAAATAGAGAAAATAGGAATCTCCCAGATGCTGCGCTAAGTAAGCATTGGTCCTATTAAAATGTGAGTAAATTATTCATGTACTTTTGTCATGACCAAAGGGCCACAGGAACTTGCAGTGCATGCTCTGGGTGTCTTTGTGCTCCATGAACAAAAGAAATTTCATTTGACAAGTGATTTAGGTGATTTAGGTGACTTTTAGTCACCTGATTTTGTTCACTAGCAGTGGTCAGCATCTACCCTTGTAGGAAGCTGAGCTTATGCACTTGAAGTACCTGCACATTTTGGCCTCCATAGTGGTACTTACGCCATAGTAGGTATCATGAGCAACAGCAGCAAGAGCTATGATACGTAGCTTAGTTCTTCCACAGAACAGCTTGAAGGTCTGTGGGGGATGTAAGTGAAACTCACCATGCAAACCATGTCTTGTTACCTTCAATTATGTGTAGTGTATGCCTTCATCAACAGCAATATTAGAAACCACCCACTGCAGTTCCTGAGGAAAAATGCCATGGAGATCATGAAAGTATTCCAGCAAAATGCTCTATTTTTCCTGTAAAAGTTGAACCCTCTGAGTTATATTAACAGTTCCATCAAAATTATTCCAATCTCTGTTGCAAACTCATCAGTTTGAGTCCCCTCAATTTGACTGGGGCAAACCCAAGAGTCTCAGCAGAAGTAAGAGTTTATAATTACTGGTTGCTACAGGAGCAAAATAAATATGTGTTCTGCCATGCCTTCAAGACAAGGGAACCCAGGATTTAGGCAAAGGCGGCTTGATGTAACCTGTAAAGGTGAGGAATTGAATCTGCCGTAGCTCAGATCTGCTGTAGCTTTGTCTCTAACTCAGGAAATGTGACTGATTTGAAAAGAATCACAGCATCATAGAATCATCGAGGTTGGAAAACACCTTCAAGATCACAGAGTCCAACCTAAGACTGCCAAGTTCACCACTAAATCATGTCCCTAAGTGCCACACCTATGTGTCTTCGGGGGTGGTGACTCAACCACTTTTCTGGACAGCCCATTCTAAAGTTTCCTAACTTTTTTGATGAATAAATTTTTCTTAATATCCAATTTAAACCTCCCCTGGTACAACTTGAGGCCTTTTGCTCTTGTTCTATTGCCTGTTACCAGGGAGAAGAGACCAGTCCTGACGTTGCTACAACCTCCCTTCAGGTAGTCACAGAGAGTGATAAGGTCTCCGCTGAGCCTCCTTTCTTCCAGGCTAAACAATCCCAGGTCCCTTTTCTGCTCCTCAAAAGATTTTTCTCTAGATCCTTCACCAGATTTGTTGTCTGCCTTTGGATGCTTTTTTTTCTAAAACTCGAAGTGCTGAAGCTCAGCCAAAGTTCATTACAAGGATGGACACACATGGAGGATGCACACAGAAAGAAAGAAAGCTGACTTTGGTGTTAGATGTTAAAGATTTCAGAATGGACAGGATCAAACAACACTATTTGATATGTCAGTGCTATCTAAACGACTAGTACTTGAAAATTCTCTTTGACACAAGGAACTCCATGTGCTGAAAGAGCTTTGTTCCAGGAAAGAAAACTCATTAACTCTGTGTGCACACAGGTTTGTGTGTATGCACACACATTTGAGGCATGTATCCACACACTTCAAACACAGGTTATCTGGCCAGTTAGCACTCACTGTGTATATTTAAATGCCTTTATTTATATGGGAGATTTTCAATTGTGGTTGTTATAGAGCTACCAGAGGAAAGTATTACATAAACATTTCTTAATTCCAACTTGTAGCATGCAGACAAGTTCTGATTTTTCAGCAGACTTGCTACATTGCATTTTTGAGCTCAGAAAAACTTTCAGAAGACCGAGGCAACACTATCAGTGGATTTTTCTCCAAGCTATGAGTAGTTAAGACTCAAGGCTGAATTACTCCTGAGAAGCTACTATTAGCACAGAATTAAATTCCTGGAGGAAAAGATTACCCTGTGTGGTTTTGTATTCTTTTCCTTCCTTAAGTAGTAGTATATAGCCAAAGCAGACCAAAGCCTCCTCAGGCATTAAAACTTTTAAAAATCACAGCAAGTATTTTACAAGTCTCTTCAGAATTGCTGGATTCTATACAGATCCCTTGTGTGGAACTGGTCTTTGTCATGGAGAGAGTAAGCCCACAGTAAACTGCAAAGGTGGTTCAGTCGCAGGATTCTTCTTTTAGGTTATCTTCAGCCTGTTTGTGAATGGAACATTAGCATTGAAAATGGAGAGAGAAGGAGTAGAAAGTTGAACAGGTACAAATAACCACAATGAAATTATTGGATATAATCAATCATAGATTTTACCAGTGTTAAGGTTAAAATAATTTCTACCATAGATTTTCTGCTGAAGTCCCATATGTGAGTAATCTCCACCAATTATACATTGTGGTGTTCAAATTCAGTATGAAGAGAAAAAGTCTAGCTTGTCTAGCTTGCAAAGTATAGATATTTTTAAGTAGTATTAAATATATAAGCACCAATACATTGAAACAAAATTAATTTGAAACACATTTGACACATTTGACCACTAAGAACAGCAATATCTTTCAGCAATGTATTAGCCTTAGAGCTTTTTCTTCTAACATCTCACAGAGTCTTTTCTAGACTAAGTCAAGAACAAAATTAAAGCCAGCTGTACACTGACTTTATTCACCTCATCTCATTGCAATATGATAAAAAATTATTTTGTTTAAATAGCAAATGATCCACTGTTTTTCCTTCTTTGTCAGCCCTTTACAGAACATTGTGGATATTTTCTCCTAGATTTGTTCTTACAAAGGAAGTAACAGTTTTTACTCCCAAAGTGAATTCTCTTAGATCAGCAGAAAGTTTACCACATGTTTTAGGCTACAAAGGCATATATCTTCCCAAAACTGAATTTCCTGGTAAGTATTCATTAAGGTGTTCTGAGGAGACATCCAGAAAACATTTTTGAGCTCCCTAAATTGGATGACAGTGTGATCCTTCCTACTTTTCTTTCAACTTACCTTGTTTACAATGTAAAGTCAGCAAATACATGGGGGTGTGCAGCCACCAGTGGAGCATCTGGTACGGCAGAGAGAAGCAGACCAGGAGAATACAAAGTGGTGAGTCTGAAAGATGAAATATCTCCAGAAAAACTCATCTGTGAGAGTGAACTTAGTTGTCTCCACATCAGTAGCAGCCAGGTTTAAGTGTCCACTTTAAAGAGCATCTCTGGGCTACATCGACCATTCATCTAAGCCAGTGAAAAAATTCCTGTGGGAGTTCTATAAGCACAAATTATTACTTCACCCCTAAAAGAAGAGCTGTAAAAGATGAACAACTTGAAAATGTTCCACTGGAAAAATACAGAAATTTTGCAAAGTTCTTTCCCTTAATGTGTCTAAAAATATATTTGAAGCTTGTGAAAGATAAAAAGGGATGGTTTTGAAGGGTTTTATTAGAAACAATTTATCAGTTTGCAGCCATGGAAATTAAAAATTTAGCAAATGCTTATTAACATGTGAGGAAAAATGGTGGAACATCCATTAACTGCAACTAAAATATTAATAAAATGCTTATAAACATCACCAAAGAGTAGAGCATTACCAGTGTCCCTTGAGTAACACATAAATATAGATAAAGCTGTCCTCTGCAGCAGGATTATTTGGGAACTGCTCAGATTCCAACTCCTTAAACATTTTACCAAATGCTACTACTATTCCAAGGAACAGACCATCTCTGAGAACACACACATCTAGACCCTTCCATAAAACATTTCACACACCAGCTTTCATTTTTTGTTTCAGAGGGTTTGGATCACTGTTCTTAGTGTTTATCTACTTTCTCTACTACTTTTTCCTAGACCAGAACTCATTTTTTGAGAAAACTTTCTTCTGTTTAATTTGAGCATTCAATTAAATTTGATACAACTTTTTATTTGTAATGTTTGACTTTCAAGTCATGTGCAAGCAGATAAAAATGAAGTTAAAACTCCCCTTTAAACTTGTAAGCTCAGACTTTGTATGAGAAAGTTTATATTTGTATCGATATTATATACTGGAATGAGAGTAATACTTCTTAATGTCATATTCTCCGTTTCTTTCATGAGCATGAATATCTGTATGGAATGCAAGACTTCCAGATTTTATACCAAGGAACAAACCAGCTACATTTGCTCAAAACTATCAAGCAAAATGAGTAGAGAAACAACTACCTAGGAATGCAGGACATCCACACTGCAATCCCTGTAATGAATCAGGCAGAGGTAAAAGTTGACACTGTCCTTCACCCCAGACTAATATACCAGGCATTCTAATCACTGTGCCTCTTCTTGTCTAAATTATTATTAATTGCTTATTATATAGGGCACAGCTGCAACAGGGAGACAGAAAAACTCATCCTACAGCAGTCAGCAGTCCAGCAGTTCAACACCTCCAGCGAGGTTTGTGCCCTCTGAGTTTTCAAGTGGGTCTGCCATTTCCTCCCTGGCTTTAATCCACAGCCCATCACATCCTGCTGATGAACATGGTATGAAAAAATTCCCCAAGGGAATTTTTGGTTTGGTGTCATCTAATGAGGTCTCTCAGGACCTTCTTCTCATTACACAAATACTCAGCATTTGTCTGAGACACAGAAACGTCCTATTCCACCTGCCCAAGCTGCTATCTACTTTTTCTTACAAGACATTATTAATTAATAGGCACTGAGCCTTGTGTCCACTACCCTTTGTCAGCACAGTGGAGGATGAAGATGGTCACTCTTGTTTGCCCACTGTCATGACAATGAGGAGAAGGTATTATCTGACAACATAGTGAAGCAGAAAGCTCTTTTCCTGAGCAATACACAGGTTTTTGGGGAGAGGAGGGGCAGGTCAGGCACCATAACTCGGTTCCTGGCATTTCTACCATGATATCTAACAGGTAACACCTTCCACAAATCATTTGCTGTGATTCTATGACCACCAGCTGTTCAGAAATATTACTCAGAGACTACATTTTCAAATTCCCATGGGAAAAGAAGGGATCTGTTAAACTGGCAGGACATATGGATTTCCTTAGTCTTGCAACTTGTATTTGTGATATGCCCTCATGCAAAGCACTGATAAAGTACACTAATTAACAATGTCATATATTTAAACATAAATAAATACTAGTCACAGGGAATCAGAAACAACCTCACAGAGTCCCAGCCTTACATGGCCAGACTGGTGTGTGTCACCAGAGACAGCACTGAGTGGCAGTTCTATGAAATTATTGCCCCAGACAGGGTATCCTCAGTACCATGGCATGAGATGCAAAGGCACACTGGTCACATCAGACCCTAAAGAGATGTTCTTGAAAAGACTGTCTCTACCTAGCCTAGTCATTGGGCTCTAAATGACACCAAGTCCTGGTCAAGAGAAAATGTGGACCTTAGGTATGTAGAGGCAAAATCCCAAAAGTCTGCTGAGTAAGTGGATCCTTCTGCTGCTGCCACTTTCCAGATTTAAGGAAAAATATTGACCATAAATTGAACATTTCCAGCAGGAGTAAATTTCATACCATTATAGATGCATTTTTATTTTAAAATGTTTTACTGAGTGCATAAGCTATAGCTGTATGGATTTGGGCAAGCAAATACTGCTGTGAAATGTAATTCCATTTTACTCCCTGTCTTCCTTTTATTCTTTCCCCACAAAGAGTAAAGCTGAGCTGTTTGAGGGATGCTGATTATAGCTGGAAGCATGCTTTCTATTTTTGATAAAACTGTTGTGAGGAAGTTATTGTAAACTTTCTGAGTTTAGTGGAAAATTGCAAGAATAGTAGATCATAGGAAATAGTTAGATTAAAAAAAAAAAAAAAAAAACCAAACCAAACTACCTCCTGGTTTTATTTGCCCCTTTCCTCCTTTGCCAATATTTCTTTCTCCCTTCTTTTTTTCTTTCCCTTCACCTCACCCCTTCCAATTATCAAATAAATCCTTTCAAAACTATCACTGAGGTAAGCATTTAGTGAATAGAAATTTCCTGTTTCAGTGGAAACAGAGTAATGAATGACCAAGGAATTGCTTATTTGAACATACAGAGAAGACCCTCCATCTCTTATGCATGTGGGAGATTCCCATTAGTATTAATGGGCATATTGTGAGGGCTTTGAAAAGTGACAAAATGTCTACAGTCACTCAACTGCTAATTCTTCCCAGTACAAAAATGGGAATAGTGCTGAACTGCTAACCCGTGTCCTGAGCAACAGGATTCCTAAAACACTCAGCCCTTGATAAGTGCATGTGCCAGGTTGTAAAGCACTGATCCCATCTTCTGGACGTTTTAAGATCTACTCTTTGGTGTTCTTTAAAATGGTAAAGGAAAATAAATAAATAAGAAAAAAAAATAGGAAGACCCTCTATATGTTGTTTTTCTCTGTAGGGGAAATAGTAATTGGTTTTCTGAATTGTCTTTTCAGTCGCCATTTCCTCAAAAGCATCTTTATCAAGGAATTCAAGGAATTACCAAGGAAAGTTCTCTATTCACTATGGAAACTGGGACTTAAGTACTGCTTTATTCATTATTTAAAGATACAACATCTATCTAGGACACTAAACAAACTGTTTTGTATGTTCTTGGAATGGATTGCTTAGAAACATTGGTTTCTCTGCTATTTTTTACATCTTTTTGCAACTCAAAGGTTCTTCCATTCCTGCTTTGCTAAAATCCTCAGGGTATCAGTAGAAATGAATGGAACATTGAATCATTTCCCCCTGAGCAACAGAAACTCTTGTGAAAATAACAGGACAGGCAGTCTAAGATGCAGAATCCAGATCTACTAAGGTGTCCTGCTCCACAGAGTCTGCTGACAAAATATTAGACCAATAAAGCATATAAAATGCTGGGGGATCCTGGGTTTTGAGGCACTTAGCCCACTAACATCCTACATACTGGGAACATGCCTGGCTTACTCCTATCAACAGTAAAGCTATTCTCTGCATTTATCTTCAAGCCAGCCTGTGCTGAAGATAAGAAAGCCTATTTTCCTTAAGGAATGCACAGCTGGCTAATTACTTACTCAAACAGAACAGAGGTGAACACCTGATCAACTAAAAATATATTAGCAGTGCCAAGAAGGCAAAAATGGCAAAAAATTCCATGGAGAGGAAGCTGATTTTGTTATTTTGGAGCACTCCAATTAAAACTATATTGATGCAGTAAATTCTGTGTTCTAGTACTGCACTGCTAAATGTATAATTTATACATTTATAATCGTGGGGTGCCTTAAAGGGTAAACAATCACATTGACATAATGCTTACCTCAAGTCATATTACTATAAAAGAAATAAAAATATTCATTTACAAAATTGCTGAAAGGAAATACAATTGTAAGAGTTCATGAAGTCACAAGAAGAGAAAGCATAGATATACTGATCAACTGAGTAAATTTGTCCAAGCAAATTTTTTCTTTGCTGAAGGTAGATAATTACTTTCAATGTCATGCACACATTCACTACAAGGCATTTCCAAAACCAAACCACTATGTTTCATCTAAATGGGGTTTTTTTTTTTTCTGGTTCACAAACATAAGATGGCATTTGTGTCTCATTATTGGATCTTGACAGAAACCAGTCAGGATCAATTAAAACACGTGAAATCATGAAGATCTTGAGGTGAATGATCTCAACCATGGTTCTAAAGAAAAAACAGTAATCCAAAAAGTGACCAACCCAGGCAGACTCACATAGCCAGAGAAGAAAGAATTATATATAAAGAAATGAAACCATGGGTCCCAGATAATTGAATTCTTTTAACGTTTGCAATTGTTGTATCTCCATTAAACTCAATTAACACTCATTTGCCTGTGAGAAAAGACAGTAGGCTGTCATCTGAGTCAAGATTTCAATCAGGTCCACTTAGTCTTTAGGTTGTTGGTCTTCTATAGTCAAAAGCCTTCCACTGAGGGAGTAGCTCCAAGAGGCTTACCAAAGTAAAAACTCAGTAATGGAGTACTAGGTGAATTTCTGTTCCTACATGCACAATTCTTTGAAAGTCCTGTGATTTTCACAATATCTGCAATTCTGTTGAGACTTTGAAGCCTAAGCACACCATCCCTGGCATTAAGCAACAGGAGAAAAGCCAAGAAGCCCTCTGCCAAATAAGCAACCTCAAAAAAAAAAAAAAAGAAAATCAAGCAACTGAAATAATCTACTGTAAACTTGGGATATTAATGTATAGAATATGCCTCTGAGATTTGCAATCAAACTGCAGCTCTGAAGTGCGTTGTCATTATAACCCAATCATAATGTCATATATGAAGTTTTCTTAGAGCAGCTTGGAAATAATTTCCCCCTTGAGTCTTCAAGCTCCTTTGGAAGAATTTCAAACAAGGAACTGTGAGGAACCGTCTAACTTGAGTAACAGGGCACTCCTCTAAGACAGGAGCAACACAAGGCAGCCATACAACCTAAAGTCATGAAGATTCTTAATGTTAAGACTGAGACGCTGCAGCTTTATTGGAAATGCTGCAGAATAGGTGGGCAGCTGGATCAATCAGTTATTACTATTTATAAACTTCAGAGCACAGAGAATAGGGGGGGAAAGTCAAAATTGCTGCTGCAGATTCTAGCATGTACAGTGTTTACATATTATGGTTCTGAGGGTTAGACTCTTCACTGGAAATTTCATGTTCAGATGACTGAATGGAAATATCTTTTTATCTTTTTTTTTTCCCTCAGTTACATACAGAAAGGAAGATTTTGTAAATATAATATCAAAGAATTAGTTTTCATGGAAGATGAGAAGTTACTTAGAAGCATACTAACTATTGCTTGAAGTGGGAAGTTGGAGACCAGAAAAGAGCCTCCAAACCTCACAGCCACGTTCAAACTGTATGGTGACATCAGATAAAGTGTTATGAGAAAACTCAAACGTTGAAACTTTAGATAAAGAGTAAGATGGAATCTTACCAGACCAAGACACATGTTCTGTAGTATTGATTAATGAGTCAAGTCCAAAGAATAAATGGCGATAAGAAGGCATTTGGCCACATTCAAATTCCCTGATTGATGTTTTTATGAAGACCACTATGAGGAAAGTTATCTTCTTAAATTATCTCATGAAAAGGACATTTCATGGGTTTGCCTTCCATGCTGCTATAATAGCCACAGAAATGGCACAACCACCCTTGTTTCTGTTATGGCTTCAGATGGATTGTATTTGCGCAACATGATCACAGTACCTGGAAAAGACTCACTAAAATTCATTAGGAGGTCCTTTCTTTGGGACAAATGTATAGAACATGCATGTAGGATTTGTAATTTTCTCTTCTTCCCCCCCTCACTCCCCCTTCCCCCCGTGGTCCCTTGTCCTGACCCTGCGTTCCCTTATCACTCCCTCTCACCATGCGGTCCAGTCCCGGTCCCCCACCCCCCTGCCTTTCCTCTCACCACACGGGCTGTCCCTGCCCCCCCCCCCCCGCGGCTTTCCCGTCGCGGTCCCCGGGGTTTCCCTGCCCCCGTCCCCTGCCTCCCGTCCCATTGGCCGTGGCTCAGATTCCCCCCCACCCCCGGCACAGGGTATAACCGAGTCCCGCTCGGTCCCCCGGGGTCTCAGGGAACACGCTCCCACAATAAACACGTGTTTGCACCTGAGCCCCGTGTCGCCATTTCGTCTGTTCCAGCGCTAGAACTGAGCCTCGCAGAGACGAGGGGAAAGCGGCCGCCCTCTCCTTCCCTCCTCGCCGTGCCCACAGGCGTCTGCCTGGAGGCGATCTCGCACAGCTACAAATGGTAGCAGAAGATGGCTATTTCCATCGATTTGTGAAAGGGGGGAGAGAGAAAGGAACTCTGCCACCGCAAGAGCTCTGCAGACGGTAAGAGGAGTGGATTCGCCGGGCGGAAAACAAACTTGAAGCTCCGGGACCCTCTTCCATCCTCGCCGGCGTGCTCTCTAACCCGCCCGGGAGCAGCCATGCTGCGGGGGCAGCTGGAATGCAGGGGCCGGGAGCCAGGTAGACTTACCTGAGGACAAAGAGGACAGTTTGGCAGTGGCTCGATGGACTGAGCTCAAAGAGTGGCCCGTCAGGGGGACGGCATTTGAACGGGGACAAGAGGTTGATAGTGGCCGAACCCAGGGTTTCAAGGGCGAACTCTGGTTAACGGGAACACCCAGACTTTTGGCAGAGCCAAACTGCAAAAGAATACATTCTCAGTTCAGCGCGATGTTCCACCACCGAGGAGAGAGATAGAGATTTCCCCATCCAAGCTCGCAGGGTAAGTTGGGTCAGAGCAGGGTGGGGACCCTGGCGGGCGGCTGAGCTACCTTTTTTTCTTTTCTGCGTTTTAACCACCATCAGCGTCCAGACGGGGGCTGTAGGCTTGCATGTCCCTAGCGGCCGGGAGGCTTTTTCTTTTCCGAGGAGAACGCAACCTTGCTTGGTCTTTTTGGGGTAACTCATACTGGAAAGCTCCTTCTCTTTCTCAGAAAGCTGCCTTTTCTACCCTCTCCTCCCTATTCTGGGCTATGGGGGCAGGGGGGGTCAAAAGGACACCAATGGGACAGAATTTTAAACGGTGACACGTCAGCTATGGGAAAATTGTTAACATTCTAAGAGAGGCCCTTCACATCCACGCATTTCATTGGCTTCCAGCCACATCAGGCCCCTCTCCTGTAGATTTTCCCCTCGGCTTCTGCGAAGCTCCCCCTTCCCTTTTCCCCACAGACTTCCCCAAACCTTCTCCCTTGGGGATGGCAGCAGCCGAGCTGCCCCAAGCGCCCTGCCAGACACTGCTATCCTCCCTTAGAGGCAGCATTGGCCATGACTCCCCGGGCGAGATGCAGTGCACCCGGCACCACCCCCCCCCAAGATGGTGCTGGCCACACTACAGGGACCCCATTTTCCCGCCTTGACCCTTCTCTTCTGCCCATGTTTTCCCGCCAGTCCCACCCCTCCCCCAATGGCCCTGCACCGTCCTGCAGCAAGCCAGCCCCTATTGTGGGGGAGGTGAGATTGGATTAATCCCTCAGTCCTTCTTCTGGCTCCCCCTCTGATGGGAGGGATCGCCAGAGGGGTCCCTCCATTAGAGGACCTCCCTTTGTAAGAGAGCTTTCCCCTTTGCTGTGGGGGGGGGCCACCTTCGAAGGGAGTGGAGCTGGAAACCTGGACCAGAGCTCCACTGCTTTCATTCCCCTGAAACAGTGGCGCCCAGGTTCACCCCTTTATCCCATCTCCTAAATGTACCTTCCCCAAAGTTCCCTTATTATTTCAATACAAGTTTTCCCCCATTACTTGTGATAATCTGGAAATAAATTATTGGATTGAGTTATATCTTATAGAAGGAAAGATCATCCTCTCTAATTACTGCCCACAATGCTATGCCAACTTCGCCATCAAATTGGAGAAACCACATCGCTGTTCGCTGCCTGCTTCTGCTCTGCTAAAATTCGAAAAACCACAAGCATCGTGTCATGAATCCTGCTTTCATCCTCGATACAGAATGTGTTTATGATAATTCTGTACCCTTTATCTTAAATTGTAACGTGGAAAATATTTTTGCCCCATTAATTGTAACTATGTCTGGTGTATCACTTTCTGATGTCTCGAATTTGTTAGGTTGCTAATTTGTTTTTACCTCAGAACACCCTTTCCTTTATGTTATTTCAAAAGAGTGAGCTGTAGGATTTGTAATTTTCTCTTCTTCCCCCCCCTCACTCCCCCTTCCCCCCACAGTCCCTTGTCCTGACCCTGCGTTCCCTTATCACTCCCTCTCACCATGCGGTCCGGTCCTGGTCCCCCGCCCCCCTGCCTTTCCCCTCACCACGCGGGCTGTCCCTGCCTCCCCCGCAGCTTTCCCGTCGCGGTCCCCGGGGTTTCCCTGCCCCTGTCCTCTGCCTCCCGTCCCATTGGCTGCAGCTCAGGTTCCCCCCCGCCCCCGGCACAGGCTATAACCGAGCCCCGCTCGGTCCCCTGGGGTCTCGGGGAACACGCTCCCACAATAAACACGTGTTTGCACCTGAGCCCCGTGTTGCCATTTCGTCTGTTCCCACGCAAACTGAGCCTCGCAGAGACGAGGGGAAAGCAGCCACCCTCTCCTTCCCTCCTCGCCATGCCCACAGGCGTCTGCCTGGAGCCGATCTCGCACGGCAACAACTGCCATAACTTTTTGGCATACCAAATACCAGCTTTGAAGACAAGAGAAAGGTGGCACCTCTAGAACTCCTGAAAAGAAATCACACTTATAAGATCTAGACCAAACTGGGAGAAGAATGGGAGCTCTTACAAGAACTCTTTCCCACCTTGCAGGAACTTCCAGAACACCAGCTTGTGTCACTGAATGACATTATCAATTCTGCAAGCAAGGATGAGGAGCTTGGCTCTGAGCAGCTTCCACTTTGCAAAAGCTGCTGCAGAATCAAGCATGTACCGCACACATGGTATGCAAGTCATCGAGAAAGGATGCTCTGTCTAACAACCTGTGGCTGGGTGATGTTGCCAAAAAGACTATGAATCGTCAGCAGACTGGGATTGCTGGCACCTACAGTCATTGCAAAGCTGAAACTCCTGTGGAGGCAATGAATGTACATGTGTTGGGGAAGGTCTCCTGCATGGACTGTGAAAGTTACAAAAGAGTGCTCACGAAAAAGTTAAGGTTAACTGTTACTACAATGTGCAAGGTCATTTCAATCTGTTTTGAGGAGCAAATGAAAGAGATTTATTATGTAATTTAAAATTATCACAATAGGCTGGGATTTACCTCCCTGAACCTTAACTTTAGAACTTTAGATAGAATAAGACATTAACCCTCCAGATGGTGATTCATCTCATCTCTGTTGAAAAGGAATGAATCAACCTCTGTTTTTAGTGCTTTCTCTGCTGATTACAAGAAGAGCTGAGAGGATTAGCTTATACTTACCACTCTTCTGAACACAGGTTAATCCACCCATTCTGTGTTCCAGATGTCACATAGTTCATCCAACATGTTTTCATTATGGAAAATACCACTAATGTTATCTACATAGTGCTGTACAGAACCCTTTAGGACAATAAATGTATGCCTTAAGCAGCAAATAATGAGACTATAAAAACAGGGAACCAAACATTGTCTCTGCTCATCTCTTGTTCTGCAAAGTTTACCCTGGCCAACAAAAATCAGGTTACAAAAAGCCTTTGAAAGCATCATGGTGACTTCATCTAAGGTGGCACAAATAGTTAAAATTTCTTGCATGGGATCACTGACTACAGTACATAAATTCAACAGTGTTTCATCCCCACAGAGAGTTTGGGAATCTTGAAAGGTGCTTCATTAGTAGCATGGTCACTTGTCTTTCCCTTTTCTTCCCTTTTCAAATTAAGAGTTCAAATAGGAATTCAGTAGGAATATCTCCTGTAGAAGGCTGGCAAGCATGATCCCAGTAAGTCACCCGCACTGCTCACTGCAATTAAAAGGAAATGTGTGGCTTTGAAAAAAGGAAACTTCTTTATCTAAGCAGCAACCATTGGAAAGTCCTTTTCCAATTTTTGTCTATTCTTGTGCTCTGAATAGTTCCTATCTCAATATTTTCCATATTTATTCAATCAAGTGTTATTTTATCAAGCTTTATGGTAGATAAACTAGTTATACTGTGAAGAACATGATTGTTTTCTCATGGTTTAAAGCATTGCTGATTTTTATTATACACTCTATATAAAAAATCATCTCTCTATTGTGAACATACTCAAGTACTTGCTTTTAGTTATTTCCATTTTTCTCCTGGAGTTTAGGATGCATCTCCTCAAAATGGATGACATTTATTTTCTCTTCTTTTCCTCTAACTTAGTTTTCCACTTTAGCTGCACCTACTGCAATGGAAATTTGAAACAGCACAGTGAGAAAATGAAACACAATATATTGAGCTTCCTGCTACCTTACCTTTAGGCTCCCTCTCTAATTTCTTTACTAAAGGCAGGTCTTCTGCTCCATTATTTAGTGTTTTGTACAGAATAGATTCATCATCTCCGAAACTGGTTCTGCAAAATAGTCATTCCTCAAATAAAGTCCTCCATTAAAATCTCTTATATATTTTTTATTCTGTGAGACTTCCTGACATGCAACTACTTAGGAAAAAAAGCCTTGCCACCAGTTCCAAAGCTAAAGTAACACTGCAACAGCTGCATCTTCCACAATTCACATGGTCTTTAAGAGGGTGGAATTAAGCCACGTATAGTGACAGCTATTGTTAAGCAATACCGTGAGAATTTATATATTTACAAGATAAGGAGAATACAGGCAGCTGCTTCTCTTTCCCTCTGCCCCTACTGCCTTGGAGTCTTCTCCTTGAACAATTTTGAACTTGCAATGAGATATGGTGCCTTACATATGTGGGAAGAACATTTAGGGAAGCAAAATTCTCTTTAGTAGCTGATGCTTTTGTTTGGGGGGGAGGGCTTTTTCAAGTTTTTTTTGGGGGGGGTGTTTTGGCTCTTTGGTGTTGGTTTGTATGGGGTTTTTTGGGGTTTTTTTTTGTTTGTTTGTTTTTATTTGTGTAAGTTTTTTTCTGTTTTGACTTGGGTTGGGCCTTTTTTTTTTTAATTCCCTTGGTTGTTGAGGATATATATTATTGTCCCTCTGATGTTTCTGTTTATGGTCAGTTCAAAACTAAAAGTTTCCATCTAACAAGCCTAAAATACTTTCACTGGAAAACTGCAGTTGTGCTGGAAAAAGTTTTTTTCCAAGGATATTAGAAACTGGCAGGTTGCTATCTGCAAGCTTGATTGTTTCTATTTTCTTATCTGTAGACTGACTCCTGGAAAGTCTGTGCATCATGCTCTATCTTTCTTCATTGTGGAGAAGGTGGAAAAAGGCACACAAAGCTATGAGAGTCAGCATTCAGTCTCCAGGAATTTGCACATGCATTTTTATTTTCTGTTGAAGAATGAAAAGGCAGTAAGTTGTACACATAAATTGTTTGAAAGCTTTCTTAAATTTAAATATGCATGTGTTTCATGCATATTTCACAACTTTTAAAATTAGCTATATTTAGCTAAATGGGGAAAAATTCACCTTGATGTAATGCCATTACTACCCCAGAGCTTCCACAGTATTGAATTTGGCCCCTAGGAATTAATTATTCTTTTGGATAGATGGCTGCAGTTTATGAATGACACTTTTAATGTGGTCTGGAGAGTATGATCTATTTAGTTTGGTAGGCTATCTCCCTTTAAACCCAAAAACTAGACAAGTCATTCCATGCAGTGAGTGTTCACAGAATCAGAAATTACATAAGGTTATGTTATTCACTATATTCAGACTAAACTCCGTATATGTGCTTGATGATAGACTTTGCAATTACTTGAAAGGCAAAGCAATGCTAATGATTTTGCCTGATAATTTTAGAATAGTTACCCAAAACTGTACAAATCCATGAGAATGTAAAAAAAAAAAAAAAGCATTCCTGGTTTCTTACGTTTTCATTTGCTTTTTCACTCCATACTCTTTTGTGCAAAATTTGAAGCTGTGACAGTGTGACCCTGAAGTTGATTGAGATATTGTCAGTGCTACTGACATTGCTAGCTCAAAAGGACATCTGGATTACTCATTTGGAGTAATCTAGTACACATGAGCTAAAGTAAATGCGTTTTTATTGGATGGTTTCCTCTGAATCAGGGAAATCAGATTTTATTTTGAAATATCTCAAATTTCTGTTCTTAAATTGAAGCTCCACCCCTCATTCATGGTAGAGTTTCTCCTTCAGTTATAAACCAATCTTAAATTTTTTAATTTAGTCATGAAAATAAATATTTTATTGGCATTTTTCTAATCCTGAAACTCAGGCATACTCTAAGCAATTTTTTAATACAGCTGCAACACAGAAAGTCCTAAGATAAATTTCATACAAGGTAAATTCTGTTCCAAACACAATGTTTCCCTCTTAGCGAAACAATTCCTAAAAGCTGGATAACTACTACAGCAGAATATGTGTATCTTTAAGAAAGAAAACTGAAAGCAGACTCTATATACTGTAGTCTATTTCTATTTTCTGGGGAAGTAATTATGATGAGACAGCTAGGAGATTTCATCTTTCTTTTTTTTTTTTTTTTGGTTTTTGGTTTTTTTTTGTTTTGTTTTGGTTTGGTTTTTTTGGTTTTTTTGTTTTCCTTGCCAAGAACAGCTTCTCTCTGTTATGCTACTTACCTGGTGGGTAGAGCTAGAATAAGGTATTCAATGAAAATTGTCTTTCTAGAGGAAAACAGTTTCTTAAAAATCTTCAATTCATTAAATCTTCTACTTCAGGATTCTGATCACCCTATAAGGTTCTCACAGCTGTACCTGTTGTGTACACAACAGAAATAGGCATAAGAGAGAGCTACAAAAACAAACCATCTCTCCTGACCAGTGTGAGAGACAAGCAGCCCATAACACAAGCTGTTAACCATCTTCTTTGGAAGGGCCCCATTCACAAGGATTATATTCTTAAATGTTTCTGACTAGCCCTATTAAAATTATTCAATAAAATCAAAGGGCGACATGAAGAGCATGAAGAGGTAAAATTGGTGTCCTTTATTACTGGGATCAAAGACCCAGTTTCACCGAACTAATCTAACAGCTTGTTATCCCTTTTTTATTCACAGCATCCTGTCCTTGGCAGGGAATATACACACATTTAAAGGTATCACTTTTGAAAATGGTTATAGCCCCTCAGAGACACTCTCTGGTACCTTTTCAGCTTCATACTAAATTAAAACACTATATTGTCATATGTGAACCACTATACACACATATATAGGAGTATTTATTGCACTGGAGAAATACTAGTTCTTGTCTGTTCATCTCACTTCCATATTAATACTACTTGCAATTTCACTAAGACCTTATAAAAATCTCATAGAACTTCAGCATCAGAATGAGAACAAAACAAATTCATAACTGTTTCAAGGAAATGTTTTCACTGTGCAATTTTAAACCACTTCTAGTCCAATAATTCTACATACCTCAAGGCATTCTACATACCTCTTGCCTTATCATCCCATTGAAAAAAAGGAAGAGCTGCCTTCTGAATCAATGACAAATCTTTACATGTCAACTTTCACAGCTTCCTTTCTGCATTCTGAGACACCTCCCAAACAGCCAGGCCTCCTGAGGATCCATGCCCTCCTTACATGCATTGCTTCAGTGCCAAATTTGGCAACCAAGGGTTTGGGTTGGAAGGGACTGTACAGTTTAGCTGGCAGGTGCAACACTACTGGATATGATAAGGATGATAAGGATTTGTCTGTGTTCCCATACTGTCCTTATAATTCAGTATTAAAAATGAAAAAGAAAAAAAAAAACCAAACAAATGCATGAAATCAATCAAAACCAAACCAAAACACAACAGGGAATTGACCATGTCTGCTATTCTACTTTTTGCTGAAAGAGGCACAATTGTGAGAATTTTGATTCATTTCAGTGAATAAAGCAGTACTATAGAAATTCGTCACTGGAATCAGCTGCCTGCCACTATCTAAGAAAGATAAGCCCTTACAGACATTTTCCATAATCCTCATGCTTTCATGTAGGCCTAGTTTCACTATATATTTTCTAAGAAGGGTACTCATCACTGTGGTTGCAAGAAATGGCCAATTATTGCTAAATTTGGGCAAGGAAACAATCTTTACAAAGGGACAGTAACATTTTCCAAAATTTTCCTGTCATAAAATCTTAACACTTCTGGGCAAGGACATATATGTAGCAATATAAAGACAAGAGACTCTTAGGGGTGGCCAGTGAAACAAAGGAGAATGCTCCAGCCATAAGTATCCAGAGTTTTTTCCTTTCACTGCAGACTCCAGAATGTTATTTCAAAGGCAAAACATCATCATTGCCATTTTCCAGGTGGGAAAACTAAGACACAGCTATGTTAGATGATTTGTCAAGAATCAATAAGCAGCTGACTAAGACACAGGTTTCTCTGCCTGATCCTTCTACTGCCAGGGAGGGAGATTATGGGGGAGCTACAAGTCCTCTTCAAAAGTAGCAGTGGGAGAAATATGCCTGACATACAACTCGTACCTCAATGTTCTTTCAAGGAATATTCCTTTTTCCTCTTGGAAAAAAACATCACAAAACTCAGACACCGGGCTGAGAGGACACTTGATCTTACCCAGCTTCTCTTGGGCTGCAGTCTTAGACATATATCCTTTAAAGTTCATATTGGACAATGTTTGACTACTTCATATTTTAATAATCACAAATCTCAGAATCTTGAGACACATCTATACTGATTTCATCACAACAGATTCCTCATTGCAATGAAAACAAATTTAAACAGACTTAACAGACATAAATTCCAAGAAAGTGACATTTCTCCCTGTGTTTGGTTGGACTCTGTATACAAGAAAAGGTATTTTTTTTTAATCATCTCAAAAAAGTAAAAAAAAAGGCTAGCTGTGAAGGCATGGATTTACTCTGAAGAGTGCTGATTTGGTCTGTGGTGAAGACAGGCCCCTGGAAATACATCCCATGGTTTCATTATGTCACAGATTTTGGGTGACAAAAAGGAGTCACTCAGTTTGCAGCAAGCCTTACTGATATGTTAGAACAAACCATGAACTCAGATGTCTGAGAGCAATGCAGGCCATTTCTGGCAGGTAATTTACAAGGATGGGAAGCTCAGCTTGTGTTCATGGATTAGATATGTTATTACACTTACATTAGCTATACAGTGCTTCCCAAATAGTACCAGCAAAGTGCTTTCTTTATCAGGAATCTCAGCTGATAATCTGCCATTGTGCTACTTTATAGTTTCAGGCAGGAGCAGACACAGAGCTCTTAGTAATTTTTTTCACTCATTTTAAGTGGGTATCTTAGTTTTCACTCACCCTACCCACTGCAATTTACAATGATGCCTTTTTACCCTGATCCTGCACTGCAGGGCAAGAGCAAAGGGCTGTAGCCTCTTTTATTTCGGCTCCAAAATTCTGAAAGCTATTCAGACAAAAGACAGTGCTTCTTCAGTCCCTATCCTTCTGCCTTTTCAAGTTCCCCCTTCAGCCTTGCATCTGAACGGCTGCAGGTACGACTCCCACCCTAATGGTGGCAGAAAAGCCCTACACTTCACTCCATTGACTGCAGATAAAGCAGACTGCAGTGGGGTAAAGAAACGGGACACATCCTGCCACAGTGTAGGGGAAAAAAAAAAGAAAAAAGAAAACCATCGACAAAGTGAGAGATGCTCAATAGATCATTGTGAAGGAAACGACTGCAACTGTTTAATTTAGAGATGAACTCGGAAGTTACATAAAAGACTGAGCCAAATCTATAAATGATAAAATCAAGAGGTCTTATTGCTCACATACCCCAGACTGGGGGTAGTAGAAAATGCTGGAAGAAATGCTATAAAATTCTTTCCTCACCCTTGGAATTCTCTGTCAAAAGACTTGGTATTTTTAGCATGAAATAAAAGCAAAACAGATTTGTTGTATTTGTGGATGTCTCCTAAACAATTATAGTAGATGCAGAACGAAATGAGTGTGTTCGTGTAACTGGCTTAGAGGTAAAATGAGTTTGCTTAAGATCCAAGCTAAAATTCAGGTTATGTTTTTGAAAATTCACTTTCTTCTAGTAGACAATTGTAAAATTCCCTCAGCACAATCAGCTTTGAGTCAGCCAGAGCCCGTCATGCATCTCCTACACTTATTCTATGGTTACTTTACACAATCTGACAAGTTAAACTAAACTGGAATCACATCAATCACCTGATCCTAACACAAAATATTATTTTTAAAAGAAAACTAAAGCAAAACAATGTTTCTGATTATAAGTAGCAGTCACAAACTTAAGGCTCTGCTATAATAAATCAAATGTATCATCCTGTGTTTCATGGGGCTAAAAAAAACTTTTTTTTTTTTTTGGTTTTTTTTTTTTTAAGGCAAAAGACAGTCCAACATAAACAGCTCAGGAATCTGCTTGTTTTAGATCCACCTATGGTAAAATGCAGTCATCACTAATTAATGTTAGTAACATTTTCATTCCTCCTACTTCCTAAGTGTGTACATCTGTCAGAACAATTGATCCCTTGCAGCAGTGACAGGAGGAGCACTGAATTTTCTTTTTATGATCAAAATATGCTGAGTGATTATAACTTACCACATCTGATACCAAGCCTTAGCTCCTCAAAATTTATTGATATAATTTATTTTCAGAAATGCTGAAAATGGGGTAACAGACATTCAGCACAAAACTGGAGCTCCTTCACATCAGTGATGATACCGCTCATGTAATTCCGTGAAGACTTACAGAATTCATAAATAAGGTTAAGTTGAAAAGAAAATTGAATTTGTTAAATTTAGTGTAATATAAAGGTACTGTGCAAAAGAAATCCTCGTCCTTTTGTCAGGGTACTATCCATGCTGCCATAAAGCCCATGCAACAACTATATGACATGAAGAAACACACCATCAACTAAAAAGTTCATTTGAAAGGATTTCTGGAAGTTGCCCAACCTGACATGGGACACAATGTTATACAGATTGAGTCATATTTTTTATTCCTCACAGTTCCTTTTCCTCCATATAATGCTTTCAAAACAATCATCTTTACGCTATTTTTAACTCCATCATAATTTTTATTGTTTCTGCCTCCTTTTCCATATTCCATTTGCTAAAGGCAAAAGTTTCACAATTAAAAATCTTGTTTGTGAAGTGGACAAAATGGTTATCAAAGACAAAAACAATGTCAAGACAACAGTCAAAAAGCACCAAACCCCCTGGAAAACAATCTGCTTAAAACATACCTGCTACTGTAGGTTGTCTTAGGATCACTGGATAGGAAATAGGCATTTGTCTCCAATCATGGCCTTGGGCAGAGAGCCCCCGTGCATTACTGAGCAGGAGCCTGCAAAGCTGACATCAAACAATGCCTCACCCCTGTCTGAAAGGTGCAGACAGGGGTCAGCTCTGTGACTGACAGTGGTAATTTAAAACACATGTGTAATTGGAAACACAAATGGGAGCTTGTGTTTTTTGGCTTTAACAGGAAGCTTTTGAGAATGGCACCATGTGACTGCACAAAGAGCAAAAACACCAATCAGCCCTGCAAAGAAAGAGATACAGAATGGGACAGGGGAGTTTTCCTCCACCAGGCTGTAGAAACTCAAGAGTTTCCCAGCAAATCCAAAACATCGAGCACAAACTCCTGTTCCTCTGAGAGGGACTGTCACCTTACATGTAAGAAGCCACAAAAAAGATACAATTTGAACCTTAATAATGTTTATCCTCACCTGCCATGAAGAAGATGTCAAATGCCTCAAGATCTGAGTATTTGGAAGAGGCCTGAAGCATTTACAATCTGATGCTGCTTTATAAGTGCCACTGAAGCTCAGGTTCTTTGCTTTTTAATAATCTCCTAGTGCCTGAAAAGGCTGAAGACCTTCAAGCTTCTGATGGTTGTGAGAAGCATAATTTAATGTGCATCTTATGCAGAAACATTCATTTCATCAGCAGGTTCAAGCTTACTTGCTCCTGTCTAGAGTTCCTAGTTGCCCCTCTGTACAGCAGCTGCAGGTTCCCACTTTATTATAACCTTTTCTTATTTTCTATGATTTTACTGTGTCACATTTGATTGGTTTGGTCATTAATTATGTACAATTAAGATCAGAGGCAGTTTCAGCCTTATTTTGAATTGCAGCAGTCACACATCTTCTCTGTAAGTTTAAATGTATTCAACCATCCTTTTTACTAGCATTTTCCCAACCCCTCTTCATTCTTGTTGAACCTCAATTCTGCATTATCCTTTTTATGATTAAGTACCTAGAACTGAACATAGCTTTTAAAGTAAAGTAGAGCTACTAATGCAAATAATGACACTTATAATTGTTTCTATATTATTATTTCTTTGGTTAAATTGTTTCAAGATTTCATTCTTCTAACTTTACCTCGTAGCCTAAGGCAGAGTCTTTTTGACTCTAAATTCCTAAAAGCCCCCTAGACAGCAGCCATATGTAATGTTGCTGCAACACTTGTGCAGAAGATGGACAATAGAGCTGTACAAGCTAACCACAACATTTTGAAATACCATCCCTTGTTCCATATGACTAGAGTTGAGGCTGCCAAACAAGAACAGAGTGTAGAAGGAGGATCTTCAAACACTGTTAGCTTTAGACTGAAATCCATAATACCCAGTGGGAGGCTCTTATAAGTGAAAGGTTCTCCATGTTTACTGCACGCTTCCAAAGACTTGCTGAACTAACATGCTGCTGGAAAGACAGAATTTCGCTTCTTGAGTTCTTTCCTCTTTCAGGAAATGGCTGTGTTAAGGTCAGGTCATTTTCAAAATTTAAGTCCAACAAGTGTTTTCTCAAGGGACAATACTGAAAAATGCTGTTTTCTGAAAAGATAAGGAAGTCTTCTTCACCAAGAACTTAACAGATACTACTGTTCAACACCAAGAGCTTTCTCCCATCTCACAGCTTTCCATGGATGTGAATTCTTGTCTCATGTCACTTGAGTACTTTAGAGAGGAAAACCAGACAGAGTATTCAATGTATTTGGTTCTCCAGGCATGGATATTCTTCAAGTATAACTTCCAACATTGTCCTGCTTTTTGTTGCTTCATTTTTGATCTGAATAAATCAAAGTGATGTACACAGTTTTGTACCCCTGGCTAGCTTTGCAGAAGCCCAGTGCCTTGCTCAGCCCTGCTGGGATTTTCTTTTGTATGCACACTTGATTTTCCTGGAAATTTTGATTTCTCTTTGTCTCATACAATTTCATAGCTGTGGCAAACCCACACAGTTCAGCATGAGGTTGGAAACTGTTGCTATCATAGTGCCAAGAAATAATTAGCTCAGCAATGTTAACACACATGATTGGCATTCATTATCAGACAGGGTGGGAACAGAATGCAGCAAGATTTACACCACAGTTGTCCACTGATCCTGCTGTCTGCCCTGTCCCAGCTGCCCATGCTTCCACTCCTCCTCTGCAGCCATGGCATCAATTTGTGCAGGTACCAGGTGCCAGGAAGCACAAAACACTTGCATCCATGCTTCTTCCTCTTCCAGGGAACCTTTCCTTCCCCTCTCTCTCCAACATCTCTGCGCTGCCCAGCTCCCCTTCTATCCATGATGACCAGCAGAACCCCACCGGCCTGTTTCCTGATTTCTAGGAAGGGTAAATGGAGCTCAGAAGGAAACACATGGAAATCTCCATCCTTAAAATGAAAGCTCACTAACAAGGCCAGCAGAGGTGATATTTAAATGCCTGTGTTTCCAAAACTCCGTGTTGGAAAGCCACTGTTTTCCATGTTTGGTGCATTTGACCAAGGAAAACTGAAGGGAGTTGTTTAAATCAGAAAACAGCTTTGCATAGAGGGTGCCTAAATAGCTGGCAAATATTTCATTATTGACAAAACAATGTCAAGTGCTTTGTGCCTCAGAAGGGGATGAAATACACCTTCTTGGAAGCAATACCTATGGGGTTTATGGACTCCAGCCACAAATCTTTACTTCCAAGCAGCTCCTTTTAGGCCTTGATCATAATGTTAAAAATCCCAAGAGAGGCCTGACACAGTAATTGTTATTAATTATCATTATTTCATATCTTTATGACCTTTTTCACTGAGAAAATGGCTGCCCATTTCTCAGTGAACATTTCAGATGACAGTGCAATTTCCTAGACAGCCTTGATGTCATAACAGTTACCTGAAAGAATAATATATGTACAGTTCTGCCTATCTGGAGGACATTTTATACAGTAGAAAGGAAGAAGATGATTCCTTCAAAAGAAAAAAAAATTAAAAACCAAAGGAAAAAAAAAACAAAACACAAAAAACCTGACAACAGAAGAAGAACATCCTCACTATTAAAAATACACCAAGCCAAAAACCTCTAGCCTGACATATCTCCTTGAACTGAAGATATTTGATATTATTTCTATTGGGACTGTGGTAGGTTTGGTTAATCCCTGTATTTCATATTATATAAACAGTTCTTATTATTACACAATACATTTTCTAATACATCCCAATTAAGCAGTTCCCCAAGGGAATAAAAAGAACTCTTTCTTACTTGGAAGTACAACAAGTAAGCCAGATTGAAAGTCATTTTATAAATCTCAAAACAACAATATTTTTTAAAAACAACACACAACAAACCTTCTCTGGCTCAGGAGCAACAGCAAATATGTTAATATATAACAGCAAGTATGTTACTATGTATGGGAGGAAAAAGGAAAAGGAGAATAAACCTAATGCTTCTGCAAAAGTTGTGTGGAAGATAGATTTTAAAAAATATACAGCAGTCCCAGAAATTCCAATGTTAATTTCCTGGGCTAATCTGAAATACCATAGAATCCCTTTGGAAACCCAGGTCTAAATGCTTGTGTCTAAGAGGTTGTGCAGTTATTTCATCTGGAAAGTCAATGGCAAATGCTATTTTTTTGAGGCTGGTGTGCACCTACAGGTCTTACCCACTTTATCTTGGATAAAGAAATTGTGCTTGCAATTTAACTCTTCCACAGCTTTGGCTCCAGAAGCAATGACTGACAGTAAACTCTGAGCCTAATTTTATCAATATTTTTGAACAAAATGTACAGAACTGGAAGAGATTCATAAAATCTCAAAGCAACAAACCCATTTATATTCGTGTGTTTGACTATCTTAACCCTATAGAACTAATATTTACTTCTGATAGAAGGAAGAGATAAAATTTCAAAGTGAAAAGGGAAGAATTAAAATGCAGAAATGAAAATTACTCTTGCTTGTGTGATGAAAAACATTCTCACTGCATGTCAAGGAGGTCAGTCTAGTTAGCATCAGAATGTGAAAAATTTGGAACAACTTCAAGTCTTGTACCACTACCTGTAGGGCTGAGGCAAAACAGAAGTGAAAAGAACCTCTAGTAGTAAATCCACTGCCATTTTATTTGCAGTGCACCTTCTTTAAATTCCAAGCAGATACAAACAAACTGCCTGCTAGTTCTCTCTGTAGAAATATTTGTTTTGGAGTGGGATCAGCAGTATTCCCTAATTCTCATTTTTATTAGTAGTCCACAGAAAAATTTCAAAGTGACAGTTATAAAGCACTGCACCCCACTACATCAGCAGAAAGCACACCAACACACCAAGCAGCAATTCTTCCCCTAAAGCCACACTGCTTTATGTGGAAAACATTTCCTATTCAGGCAGCCCCTTAGAGAACTGGACAGCATTTGGGATAATTCCCAAATATCAAATACAAAGTAAGCAGAAGTTAAAGAAGATAGTCAGCCAAAATATTTCTGTTTCTTTAACCCTGAGAAAGAATCCTTTGAAAAGTGCCAGGGCAGAATCTGTCCATCCTGATTATTTTGAATAATCCTTTGTTCCACCAAGCCTACCCATTGAAATGAAACTGGAAATATTAAGAATCCCCATTAACTCTGTTGAGCTGAGGGGAATAAATATGAGAAGAAAGAATGAAAATCATGTTATAAACTGTAAAAGAAAAACCAAAACAAATAAACAAGTAATGAATGGACCAAAGACAAATATGTTACAGGGTAAAATAAAATGAAAATCTTCTTTCTTTTCATTTTTTCTTTTCTCCACTTCCTGTATTAAAAGCAGAGGCCTGTTTTTCCACTCAGAAATGCCTCTTTAAAATAAGCATATCCAGACCCAATTAGAAAACTGTTTTTCCCAACATCATTTGGCTTTAGTTGAATTGCTATGGTTTCCCACCCTTTCTATGAATAAGCACTCCTTTTCCATCATCCATCACTTTCCACACAGTCTGCACTCTTCTGTCTACCAGGGCCTAAAATAAATACAGCGCTGGCTTATACATCTGCCTTTTTCTGAGGTCCTTTACCCCACTAAGGAATGTACATCTAAAAAAGCAACAAGATGTACTTTTCTTACTTTGGAGAAATTAGGACATGTTGAATATCAAAATATTTTCTCAGAGCTATGCAAAATATCTTAATGTTTAAATATTTACATATTATAATAGAATTCACAAGTTCCAAATAAGTTTTAGATATCCTTAGCTTGGGGCTCCATAAAATACAGCCAAAACACAAAGGGAACACCCTAGAATAACAAGTAATTAATAGATAGAAAAGGAAAAGTAAAAAAAAAAAATTGAACAATACTTGGAATCTTAGTGAGTTTTAAACCTTGTTATTATTTTTCAGTACTCTGTCCTTACCAAAATAGCAACGAAATAGAAACAACGATATGGAGTGTATCTGTGGCATCTGTGAGTCTGCCCCACAAATTATAGTTAAATGAGAGAAGCAATTCCAAGGACAGGACAAACTGAAGCAAAAGCTTCAGAAAAAAAGAACAAAAGAGATCAAACCTTTTAATGGAAAGGAGGTGAAGTAGAAACTGCAGAACAGGTGATTTTTCCTTGTAAAATTCATCACTGGCACTGCCAGGGTGAAACTCTTTCACCCTTCACAGGCTCAGCCAACCACAACGAGGACAGAGGTTCAGCCTGTGAAGAGACCAGTAGCAAAAATGTTTAGTATAGCAGGGACTGATTCTCTAAAAGGCTGAAACAAAATCTAGAACAAACTTGGGTCTTGTTTTAGCTGAGTGCTGACTGCTGCTCCCTGAGTAGCTCAGACAGGAGCCCCAGATTGCATCCTGCAAACTTCAGTGGGCAAGAAAATCAGGACGTTGTGAGAAACACAGCCAAGTGTAGGATAGGTTAGACCAAAATGAGAATAATAGGGGAGCTGTACTACAGGGGGAGGTTTCAAAGAAAAGAACATCCAATGTGCCACCAGGCGCCTGGACTGCTGAGGGCAGGAAGAGAGATAAAAGCTCTAGGTCAGCTTCTACAGAAGCAACAAATGGCAATAGCTAGAATAAAATAAAATAGAAGGCATAAAGAGATAAATAAACTCTGTAAAAATTAAGTCAGGCTTGGCATTCAGATGTCATTGCTGAAGGCCATGCTACTGACAAAGGCCACTAACAGGCATCTTTTTAAATTCATCTGTTTCAAGTTGAAATCACCATTAAAAAGCCAAAATACTGTATTTTCTTTTCATGGGGACCTAATCAATGTCAATATGCACAAATATCTGAAGGAATGGTGCAAGTTAGATGGAGCTAGGCTCTTTTCAATGGTACCCAGTGACAGGACCAGAGGCAGTAGACATAAGCTTAAACATAGAGGTTTTTTACCCTCTGAAAACAAGAAAACTCTTTTCACTGTGATTGTGACAACAGTGGTACAGGTATCCTAGAGAAGCCCTCTGGAGTGTCCCTCTTTGGAGATATTCCTGTTTAGAAAAGATCCTGAGTCACCTGCTGAGGCAGCGGGGCCTGACCAAGATGACCGCCAATGGTTCCTTTGAGCCCCAACCGTTCTGTGATTCTCTTTTACAATAATGAATCAGTTAATAAGTTTCATTTTACAGAAAAAAATAGAAAATGCCCTTCTTTGTATCTTTAAGCAGGATGTTACTTGACACAGGTTGCCTTTACACTTCTTCGTACTGAAAACAGAGACAAAAGAATATGTTTGAAATGGGTGAAAGAACTGACACTAAATACCTACCCCCACAGGTCACTGGAAATTTTAGTTCATATATATTTTCACATGGCAACTGTGCTCTCTTTGCCTTCACTAGATGTTGCAGAGAAAATCATAAATGCTTTTGAAGGGTTAATAGTTGGTTAGCAGATATTTTAGGAGAGATCAAGAGCAGATATCAAGAGCACCATATGTAATATGTGTTTATGAAAATGTCAGTGGGAAATGTTGCACACAATTACAAGCAACCTATTGACTTAGAACTTAAGGTTTTAAACATCTGTGAGTAATTATTATCTTTAAATAAAGTATTTCTGTATACGCTGTCTTAATGCTGTTCATGCCTACCTTCTCATACCAACAACTGAAATAAACTTCCATTTCTTTTGATATCCTCTACTCATTTCATGTGAGAGATTTAAAAGAAGTGTTTCTAACTGGACAGGTGAATTCCCAGACTGAAAGGTTTTTCACTTCTTTTCTTTTCCAGCCCTGGTAACATTATACTTCCAGTGCATCCCCAAACCAAGCACAACATCCTTGAAAAGTGAAACAGGAAGTAGCAACTGTCTGTAACAATTAAGCACAAAATGAAAATCCTGTGTTAGGTATTACTCAAATATCTTCTGCTTTTCCTTAAAAAGTATGTGTTAATTTAGCATGACAGCACTGAGGACTGGTAGGATTTTCATGATGTTTCATTGCATCTGAAAAGAATAATAAGATGAAAAAGTGTTTAACCTTTCTCTTTGGTGAACATAGATCTTACTGCCAGCTTTGGAAGCAATAAAAATATGATTTTTCATTGAGCTCGATTGGTAGTGACAGAATACAGGAATCGCTGGGGTTGGAATCATAGATATTGTGTGAGGTTTAAGGGGAAATTATTTCTAAATTATACTAGCCAAGGTGACAAATATTTAACTAGTCATCAGCTAACTGATATCCAGGTAGACAGGGTAGAGCGGGGATGTGGATGGATTTTATGCATAGAATCTAAATAGAATAAAGCTGATCCAGGAATTGTTTTGTATATTATCATTTCATTCTTTCCTGATAAGCAGGATAGCTGGGACAATTCCCTCAAAACCTAGAAAAATAGGAATGTTTCTTTTCTTCAGACATTCTTTGCAGATAGAGGTACATGGGGAGAGATAAAGATGCATAAATGTACTTACACATAGAAACTCACAGAGAAAATATGTGATGAAGTGGTGTGATAGAAAATCTTGAATTCATATGCTACTCCCACGTGGCAGACACCAGCAAAGTGGTCATAACATTCCAAACACATGCACACAGATTTCTTATTCTACATAAGTCTCATTATGAGTTCTGCATATGCCATTTTTTTTACAGTTCATCTATTTTAAAGAATTTCAAGCAATTATAGCCATTTTGTGTTCCTCTGCCTATATCATTAAGTGCCTTTGTTACTGTCAGTTCAGATACCGCAGTAGGCAAAAATATCTGTCCAACATGTTTTAGACTTCTCTGACTTTTTGACACCTTGCTAATAGGTAATGGTGTGAAAATACCAAACACAATATCTTTGATGCTGACAGGGTCAAAATCATATGCAGTGTACTGGTGTCTGGTGTGCACTTCCATCACCTGTCAGAAATCCCTGCCTTTAGGATTTTGGACTTTTGTTCTGCTACTAGGCAAGGTGCAGATTTTGCCTGTCCTGGGCTCCAATGAGCTTTAGAGGGAGAGAAAAGGGATTAGGAAAAAACTGCAGTTGAAGTTAACTGTGAGAGAAATAGTCTGGGTAGATTTGAATTAGAAATTTTAAATGAAATTATGAAATTTTTCATTTAGCCTTGCAGCTCATCACTGCACCCATTAAAAGAGAGGGATACAACCCATTCCTCTATTTCTGCATCTCCAGTTGTCCCTCCCCACAATCAAAGCAGAAAAGTAAGAATTAAAGTCTCTCTGGTTTCCATGTCAGTTGCCACAGCATTCTCTGGCTGCCCTGTGGAGGAGTAGCTGTGAAACCTTGGTTCAGCCCTGCATGTCAAAGTGCCTCTTTCGGGCCACTTGGAGGGCAGATGCAGAACTCATATGCTCACCCCTCGATTTGGCTGTTCCTGGGGTACTGGCCCTGTGAGTGGCCAGAACAGGGAGAGTCCTCAGGGGATTGCAATGCAGCACACAAGGAAACCTCTATTAAGCTCACTCCAAAGCAGATTTGTCAGACACTTTAAACTTGGACACAAAATTTGCCTGAAACACATCTCTCTGACACCAGCCCGCCATGCTGTAAGTTCTCTTCAGAGGCAAAAAGTGCAGTTTTTCTGGGAACAGCTAAGACTTTACAGAAAAAAGAAAAAAAAAATTTTTAAAAGGCCATAGAATTAATTCCTCTCTAATTCAATTAATCATTTTAGCTGTGACTTAAATATAGGGTAAATGTAATAAAAACATCAGGTTGAGACAAACTGCTGTCAAAAGTGTTGGCTGGAGGCCTTAAAATGTAGCAAAGTTGCACAGAGCTGAATATTGGCAGCTGTCCTTGTGTCTGTTTATGGCACCACTGCCATACAGTGTTCTGAACATTACCGGCATTTTAAAGAACTGTTTGCTTCATGCCCACCACAATCTCAGTTTTCGATGGCCTGAAGCCTTTCCAGTCCTGAAATCTCTTAACAACATCTCCCATGTTATTGAAAGTGGGAGGCTGTTTAAAAACTTCAGACAGTGGCAATCCTCCTGATATCAGCCATGCAGCCACCTTGAAAACATGTGGATTCTCACTGAAGTAGAGATCTGACCCCTGAAAATGCATTTTTAACAGCTGAAATTCCTAAAAGCGACAGGAAGGTTTAAGTGTGTTGAAACAATTTAAGGAAGAGATCAACCAAACATCAGAGATTCACGGTAATTATTTCAAGTTAGGCATTATAAATCTGGGAAATTAATAAGCAAGTTTTAATTTAAAATAAGTAAGCGGAGTTGTGGAAATGCCCTCATCAACAGAATAGAAATTGACTGCTTTTACTGAAACTATGCCATAGTAATGAGGTGATGATTAATGTACAACTTCTGAGATCTGAATACAGTTACTGTAAATGACACATTAAATTAAAATAAAATTATCATTTTGCCCCATTTTGACACTAGAGTTTTCAATAGAGTTGAAAACAAAGAACATTTGAAGAAGATGCATAACAATATTTTTTTTCTGGCTAAAAAGGTACTGATGCTTAATGCTACATCTAGAATGCTATATTCAATTTTAAATTAGCTTCATCCGATAAACATGTTAATGTATTTGTTTAGAATTTAATGCAAAATTCATTCTTTGCCCAGTCTTTATTGTAATTTCAAAGAAGCAACATAAATTCTTCTTTATTAGTGGAGACAAATTACTGTTAGCCATATAAACTCATCTCACCTTAAAGAAGAACGAAAACTTTTGTAAAATTTGAAAAAGAGAATAAATCATCACATGAAAAAACACCTAAACAAACTAAAAACCTGGGAACTGCAATGGGAAGGGAAATTCAGTGTTGACAAAGTAACATATGCAGTAGGAATAATTTGTATTTTTACTAGGCTTTAAATCTGCTATTTTATCCTAAAAAAAAAAAAAATGCTAGATTGGTCCCCCAACCCAAGATCCCAAGATAAGCACAGCTACAATAATTTAAAGATAATAAAGAAAACCTACACTAAAAATGCTGTTTCAGAGTAGTAAAAATGCTACTTCTTTGCAAAGTACTATATGCCAAAGATAGAAATTGCTTTGGGAATTAAATAAGTGTAAAGAAATCTCTTTAAGGTGAGTCAAACATTCATGTTATTAATTTTAGAAAATAAAAATTCAGAATCTGCAATGAAAAATGTACCCACAGTGTCCAAATTTGCTGTAAAGGGAAGAAAATCTTCTTCACAAACAAGACTTGAAATCTAAAAATGGAAAATTGAAAGCTGATCATGAGAAAAGCTACATCCTACACATTCCCTTATGAAACTCCTTGCTACAAAGTGTTGTTAGAATCAGTATTCAGAAGCATTCAAAGTAAGATACAGATACAGGAAATGCTCAGGATTTTATACCATATCAACAACAAAGTGTTTTAGAAAGGATATAGGTCTGACTATCTGTTCATTAGCCTTATCTTCCTGTGAAATAGAAAGTAAAAGCTGCTGTTGAGGGCAAAAACAGGCCTGAATGGACCAATCATCAGATTCAGCCCTAAAGACAGTGCCCACAATGCCACTGCTTCCCTGCCACCAGTGGCCTTTCTTAAAAAACAGATTTTAAAGCACAGTAACCTTGCCATCATTCACATGTTCACACATACCTTACATATGAGACTAATTTCTCACACTGATATATTGGATCCTGGACATGCAGGCAGCAGATCTGTAATCATCTGTCATCTAAAGCAGGAGTGTAATGGGGTGATGCCATGGTTTTCCTGACATGTATCACAGTCACACATCTGTTTCTTAAACAAGAAGAGAGCATTAGATAATGTAGTGTTACTTGATTTATTACACAGGTAGATACTGTTGCTATCACGCTGCCGCGGTAGTGTGGAGGAAGGGATTTAGAAAGGCCTTGGGAATTGGAAACTGAGGAAAAGATACATTTAGGTATGAGGAAAAGATACATTTATGTATGCCCCATTGTTTCGGGAAAGTTTCGCTTCAGCATCTTTATGTAACCCCCCTTCTCCCCACCCCTGAGCAGTTCCCATTGGACCTGACCCCTGGGGTGGTTCTGATGAGCCCATGCTGAACACTGTCTCTATTGTTTAGACCTTATCTCTTAATTTTGCTGTATAAAACTGTATCTGGGCAGTAGCCTAGGGTCTTTTGTCCCTGCTACCGTTCAGGCAATACAATCTTTCTGGACTGCATACAACTGACCTCTCTTCGTCTCTTTATCTCGACTCCTTGCGGCGACAGAGGCGCACCGCCGCTCGGACCGTGCTAACCCAGCTGCTGCCTGGTGAGCCCAGTGCAGCGGGACCGCGGCAAATCCCGGTTCCCTGAGGGGACAGCTAGCCGGATGGGTCCCGGGGGGCCGGGGAGGGACGGGGGACAGCCGCAAGTGACCCCCGAAAGCCACAAGTGGCGCCCAATGTGGGGCATTGCACCGGTTTGAGTGAACACGCTGCGGCCGCCACGGGCAGTTCACCGGTTGGGAGCTTTTCTGGACACTTTGTGATCTGTGTCGCCGCGAGTGACAGAGCGGCGAGCGGTGCGAAAAAACCGCCACGCAGGCTGTCAGCTCCGCGGGGAGAAGCTCTCGGACCGCGCTGGTGGTGTGGGCACTCGCCCTTCCACACAGCCCGGCAGGACTGCCACCGCGGGGACAGAGGCGCCGATTTCTGTCCGGCGCTGTGTCCGTGGATGCGGACGGGACCTTCCTAACACCCGGAAGACTGTTTGCGGAGTCGGGAACCGTTGCTGCAGTGTGTTTTCTGAAGAACGGCGGTGGGTAAGTCTCGGTACTGGCGGGGAGGGTCCGGCCAGGAGACTGGAGTCAGGCTCCCGTGTGCCCAAGGGGGGACACGCCAGCGCGCAGGCGTGTCGGGAGCTCCGCCGGGTCTTTAGAACTTTGGGGTTTTTGCTGCAGCAGCTGGGTGAGATTTTGCTGTGCTGCCAGCGATGGGTGTTACGCTGACTACACAGCAGAAAGAGATTTATAAACAAGTTCAAGAACCCCTGCAGAGAGCAGGTGCAAAACTTCCTAAGAGCCTGGTGAAAGAGTTTGTCAGATGGGTAACAGTAAGTTTTTCGGAGGTAACAGAGCAAGAAGTGACAAAAAGACAGTTTTGGAAGCGTGTGGGTGCAGTGTTGAGTGAAAGGACAAAGGCAGGAGATCCCTCAGTGAAAGAAGGTTTTATGAGAATCTTTTTGTTCGTTTATGATTTTGTGAAAGAGACTGCAGACACTCGGGACGCCCGGGGAACAGAAAAGCGTCACATTGCGTCCCCTGTAACCCCCCGCGTCCCCGGCTTTGAAAAAACTAACCGCGCAGATGTAGATTCAGTTCCTGACCCTTCTCCATCTCATGATTCCACTCCTGCAGCTCAAAATCCATGCTTTACACCCCCCACCCCCCACGTGCTGCCACCACAAGATGGAGGTGGCACCGCGACATTCCCTTCTCCATCCCAGAATTCCTTGCTCCCCGTGCCAGCCCAGAACACACCCCCAGCCCTCGTGTCCCTCCCTTTGCCCATCCCCAATCCCAATCCCTCCTCCCTTGCGGCAATTCAGCCCATGGTCCAGCCCTCAGCTCCTCCCCTCGCAGCTCCATCACCACCCCCTGCCCCTGCCCAGCTCCACACGGCCCCGCCAGCTGCGGCCACTCCCACACAAGCCGCCCCCCCTCTTGCTCCTGGTTCCCTCGGCAACGGCAGCGCCGGAGCTGCCAGCTCCGGGACTGTCGGCTCCGGGAAACAGAAACTGGCCAGAGACACCGATCCTCCGTTCATGGCCCCAGTGGTTTATAATGCGAGAGGACAAAACCCTAGATGGGAGCCCCTTTCATACGACAGTATCAGGGAACTCTGCAAAACAAAACGTGAATTTGGAGAAAGGAGTGAATTTTTTAAGAGCATTTTAAAAGCTACTCTAGGCTCCAAAACTTTTGTCCCTGCTGATTTGAAACGTCTTTTCAGCTGTTTGCTCCCTCAATCTGAATTTAGATTGTGGGAAAGAACTTGGAAAAGGCTTGCAGGAGACCTCCTTCCAGAGATTTTGCAGAGTCCAACCCATTCCACAGATATAGAGGATGAGGAAATCACCTTAGAACATCTAGTGGGTGAGGGTGATTGGAGCCAAGCTGAGAAGCAAGCAGCAGGCATTCCCAGATCAGTGTTAGACCTGTCCAGGGATGCGGCAGAACATGCATTTTTTAACATGCCTTCTAAAGAACCTGTCATTTCTTACACCGCTTTAAAGCAGTCTGTTGCAGAGCCGTTCATGGATTTTGTGGATCAAGTGAGAGCTTCAGTCGAGAAAAGGGTGCAAAATCCAGAGCTCCAAGATCAGCTCACACTAGAAATTGCCACCACAAATGCAAATGAAGCCTGTCAACGAGTCATCCTGGCCCTTCCAGCATCGCCTCCACCCACACTCGATCAGCTCATTGAGGAGTGCACGAGAAAAGCCACACTAATGACAGAGGACTCAGTGATAAGTCCGCGGGAAAGGGTGGTTGCTTCAGCAGCAGCAACCCCGAGGACTCCGGGGTCTGCAGGGCCTCCTCCTTCACAAGGGGGAAAGTGGGAGCAGGGGGAATCTTTTTCCTTTATACTGGCAGAGCAAATTGTACCTTTTTCAGAGTTAGTTTACTTTGTTATATGATTTTATCTTTCTTTCAGACTAGCAGAATGTCAATTTCCACATTCCTGCTCATCGTTTGGTTCCAGAAAATGGCCATCTACCCATACACGGTGGACGCGTGGATTGTTCCACAGCCCAAGAAAAATGTGTGGGTCACACTCGCCCAAGCCTTGAAACAAGATCGCATGTGTTTGTCTACTGCCTCAGCAGAAAATCCGATGTCCACATGTTTAGTAGGGGTTCCAAGTAAGGGGGATGAGTTCCCAATCGGTCTGGTCCGCCCACAAAAGCAGGTGAACGAAAATAAAATACCTGAGGCGGGGGCAGAGTTCTACAGGCACCGAGGAGCTGTAGAACAAGTTAAAATACCAGTGCAAAACCCCCTCATTTTGTGGCAAAAGTGGATCCTAGACTTGCCCTCTGCTGAGGGAGAGCCCCAGGAATTAGAACTCCTGGGCTCCGCAAAAGCTGAATATTGCATTCAATTTGATTTTTCCCCAACCAAAGAAGTAAAACTATATGAGCAAGTCAAACAGTACAAGGTAGAATTCAGGGCGGGTCAATGGTGCACAGCTGTCTATAAGCTGAAATTTGCATCCACCACTGATTTCCGTCCCCGCAAGCTGGACAAAGGAGTGTTTCTTATCTGTGGGGACAGAGCATACCCAGGAATCCCCTCTCGTCTTATTGGAGGTCCATGCACTTTCGGGCATCTGACCCTTGCTTCCCCCAACATGACCCAAATTCCAATCGGGCGAGCAAAAGGTGAGACAAAAATTACTAAGTGAAGTGCAAGTCAATTTGATGAACATTGTGATGCAGAAATTTACCATTGGGCAAAATCCAAAAGAGTTGCCGTCTCTGTGTTTTTACCATGGGTTGCAGCAGCAAAAGCATTGAGTGAATTAGGCAATCTGGAATGCTGGGTGACGAAGCAGGCAAATTTAACATCAGCAGCCCTGAGTGACCTCCTAGAAGACGAGGAAATAACCCGAAAGGCTACCCTCCAAAATCGGGCAGCTATTGATTTCCTGCTGTTGGCACATGGTCATGGATGTAAAGAGTTTGATGGGTTGTGTTGTTTTGATCTGTCATCTAAAGGCCAGAGTGTGGGAGGGGGTGTGGTTGGTGACCTCCCTGCATTGCCATGGGAGGCCACAGATGTGTAGTTTTCCCGCCTCCCGAGTTGTCAGTTATCTGTTCTCCCTTCCCCCAGTTTATGTCAATCACTTTGTACTCCTTCCCTTTGTTCTGGAAAGTTCTCAGTTCTTTGTACCCCCATTGGTTCCTCCTCCGTAACCACTCCTACCCTCTATCCCAGTTGGCCGTTGCCGTGTCACTCCTGCTTGACTCCACCCTCATACCCTCACCCGGTTGGATGCTCTTTACCCTGACCCTCCTTCCCTGTTACTGTTATAAACCCTGCCCCGCCCCTGGTTCGGGGCTCTCAGAGCTGGCTCGCCCTCTGAGTGGCTGCGTCCCTTTACCTCCCTCGCCTTCCCTCACCTAAGCCCTCAGAATAAAGCCGCCTGAGAGACTCTCGCCTGGTGGAAGACTTTTCTCTTTATTACCACCATCGCGTGCCCGAAGTCCCCGACTCGGAGTGACCGGGCCACGCGTTACCAGAGTGTCCACTCGTCCATTCAGGAAATGAGAAGCCTCATTGGGAGTATGAAGCAAGAAAATGAGGATTGGTTTAAGGATCTGTTCAAAGACTGGGACCTTTCTGGGTGGGCAGTGTCTCTTTTAAAAGACATCTTTTACTTTCTAGCTGCACTGTTTTTAGTTCTGTTAGCTTTTGGGATTCTTAAGCGA